TGATCGGAACCTTATGGTACAAAGTGAACATAGTCGTGTCCATATTTAGATGGAAAGTACAGAGGACTACTGTCTAGAAGTAGGCAAGACATTAATATCGCCTAATGCCCGGCATCCTTTACATGCATGAGACTGACATCTTTAGTACCGATCACGCTAAATAATTTACTGCTTCTGGCCTAGAAGAAACGGAAGTACAAAAGACAAGATTTGTGGAAACTATGGCAAGGCCAACTTGTACTCCTGTGTCTTAGAGAAATGAGATTCTTGAATATTGTTGTCGCGACGAATTTGAACAAAGTTTCGTACAGTACCTTACTTATTTGGATTAGGCGGTAAAGTGGGATTAGGGAATGTCCTTTTTTAGCACCTACGAGTATAATGAGTACTAAAAATCATACATCTTGATTGACTGGTCAAGAGAATCTCTGAACGGCGAGCAGAGCTGAATTTAAATTCACCCGCTTGTTATATTCAAATCGTCCGTCTAAAGAGGAGGATTCCTTTGCGGCAAGAGCGAAGTTCCCCCATTCCGTGATTATGGTTTTATTGTTTTTAGTAAACTTAACGCGGAAATGACGACAGTAGGGTGCAGAGTTGATTGTAATTTCTATTGTTAAGTTTCCTCTTCGTAAATTGTACTCTACTCATCAGGTCCCCAGAACATAAAATCATTATTTCAACGAAGTCGGGAAGACTACAGAAAGGGTAAGCCAGTGAATTAAACCCGACGCAAATAAAGACTAATTTTAGCGCTGGGCACAGCCCGCCCTTCCAAGTTTCAGATCGGCGGACCCGTCCGAGGCATGTGCCCTGCATCTCCAAGTGCTCATGAAGGCGGCACCGGACATGCGAAGAGGTGAAGCAGATGCTAAAGAGAAGGTTCACACTCTCGAAAGCGTTAATGAGATTAGAAGTGCGTTTGATACACCAATTTCATAAAATGGTATCAATCAGAAAATGTGGAAAGCGCGAGAACAGTGTACAAAGTGTACCCCTAAGAAATACAATACTCGCTATTATTTCCGATGAAGCAAGTATTACTCTTTCAGGGTTCTCGGAAGTGAACACACGATGAGGAAATTGATGTGTTTCAGATTCATGTGGATTTGGACATTCTTGATTCAATCTACGGAAACTAGTGTATGCCCCCGTTACCCAGCGCGGTGGCTAGGATGCAGTAGTTCCTGGCTGATGCAGTCCGCCGCTCGCCGTTGTCGTGTGGTCTCTCTATTCTCTTGTGCAGCTTACTGTTTACGCCGTTGTTATGGTCACTTCGCACTTGCGATGGTCGTTGTTGTTATTTTATTTTTGTTATGGATTTTCATCCAACTCCTCCATGTGTATACTGGGATCCGAAAGATTTTTCAGAGCCCCAAACCACACATGTTTATAATGTCAACCAATCAGGAGAATATGAGCTTCATCATTCAGATTAGACACGAAGAGGACGGCAGGCGCTTCAATCAAATTCAATTATAACTTTACGGGATAGACACAATTTTTTCTTTGAGATATAGATTAGAAGACTAAATAGAATTGTGATCCAAAATGCTCAAATTTGTATATTCCTTTTTGTGTGAAGCATTACCATACAAATAATTTACAATTTTGAGAAAGAATGGTGGAACATCTGTGGTATTGTACTCTGCTTGGCAAAGTTATGCGTATGTCACCGAAGAATTTAATTTAATTTTCCGTTATGAACGAAATAATGTATGGTACTGTTAAGAATTGATATTCGGTCCTTACTGCAACCACTTATTCTTCGCATTGTGATTCGCCCAAAGCAATAACTGAAGATTTTGTGTTTGACTCACAAATATATGCGGGACTAGAGGGATTGGAAACCTAACCTGGCCACATGTTTCTCTTCATGATTTGATTGATTTCTTGCATTTTGATTGTCTTTCAACCAAAAAAAAACTTGCTTCACAAAATTTAAGAAGGGATGAAGAAATCCATATTTGGATTCTTACATTTCTTGTGTCGAAGCTCAGAATAAACGATGCCTGAAGATACTGGCAACTCCATTCTATATCACTAACATATTCCAAATATGCTCCACAGTTTAGAAAGGTTTGGTCAAATGCTTATGATGTCAGCACTACCAAAATGTAGACCATGTGGAGAAAATGACACGAGATTAAACACTCACAGTTGTGCAGATTTAGTTCAGTCTGGATCTTTGCGACCTCCGTTAAGGGGAACAACTTTGAACCAACTTGACTTTGGCACACACTTATCTATCACACAAGAAGACACACACTTAGAACAGAAGATCCTATAGTTTGACTTAAAAAAAATCAATGCAACTTGGTTAATTGTGGTTTCACAAAGAAGCAACTTTGCCCTACATCTCTACCAAGGGAGGATAAACATGCAAAACAACACTTCTGAATCAATGCAAAGAGATCATCCAATAAACCTGCCATGCAGTTCCCAATACAGTTAAGAGAATTCCATCCCGCATCATTCTTAACACCAATGACTGATTTGTGCTTTTTATGACTTTCATACTTATTTCTTACCTTGAGCTAACTCACAGCTCGAATTTCCTGCTTCAAAGGCTGCATGTATCTCATTAGCATGACTCTCCCATTCACTAAGTGTTCTTCGGGAGTGCATAGCCAATATATTTTCCGGTGCGCTACCCTTGTTATCCTCGAAATGCTTCATGTTCTGTAATATGAATTATTTCAATAATAATCAGAATACAAGACTCCTTGTCTGCGATTATGTTCATTGAAAGCGGCAAGTTTTATACCTTTTGAGGTTGCATATATGAAATCGACCAGGTACATGCTCAGAACATGTACGTCATACGCCTATGACATATATTGTCAACCTTTTTATATCTACTGTAGTTGTTAGTTTCAACTAACAACTACAGTCTGGAAACGAGGAATACTCCCTTATCAAAAGGAACAGAAGAAAAAGAAGGGAAAGGAGCAGATTGATTGCTCATCTTGATCTTTACCAACCAGGTTCCTATCACGCTGGTTCCACCCTTCTTTTGAGAGAAACTGGGAATCTCCTCATCACTTACCCTCTTTTCAACGTTTGGACAAAAAAGACTTTATTCCATCCTACACGAATCTGCATAGAAAGCTCACTATCCCGAGCTCCTGTTCTCATCAGGGCGCTATGATATACACATCTTCTTACCGATTCTGTGAAAAAGGATAGTACTTGAAGCGCAAACAACTGGTACACAATCGCGATGTCTAGGTACAAGTCCACGCTAGAGCCGTCGATACGTATAACTTTGCACACAAGATTGTAGAAGATTCGTCCCTCTCGAACTTTTACCTTCAGCCGGGCTTCTTGCTCGACGTCCAGATCTGCCTTACTTAAACCGATGGAACACGAGGATAGATTCGGGCCAATGACCAGTGTTCATGATAAGGGTCTCCGAGGGATGCCGGGCAGCTGGGAAATCTACCAGCCGCATCTGGGGCACAGGAACGCTCAGGATACAAACCCGCAAGTGCAACGAAACGCGAACTTTATGTCAAAGATGTGATCGAGGTCTCATTATCTCACACACCGCTTGGGATCCGAAAGCTGTGTAGACCTCGTCGGTCATGGCGCAAGTGCGGGCAGGTCTAGAGTTCATTGATGAAAGGCGTCGTGTGCGCTCAGGCTCACATTAAACAACTCGCGCATCCGTCCCGCCTTCTCCAGCTTTAAATCGTTCGCAAATAGCAGCAGGAAACATGTCTAGCGGCAAGTCGTGCATGGGGGACTGGTGCGCGACCAACGGTAACTGGGTCGTAAAATGAGCAGCGTCCGAAACCTGCCGATCGACAATAAAAGACATTTGAATCGTTGTGCATCTAAGACTCGAGCCCTTCCGAGAAGGAGGAGGACCGGTCAGCTGATCAGTTGGAGCATATTCGTCATGGCTCTGCTCTCATCAAGATCGATTACGAAATAATTCGAAGAAGGCTTATTTCATCGTGATGCGCTAGACGACAGATTAGCATTCCTTTGTATCTAACCGGAGACGATGATGTTCGAGCTATTTCAATCGAGTTTGATTTTGAGGTGTCTAAGAGTCCATTTTCGAGGATTTTCACTGTACATTCTTGTGATTAATGAACTAGAAATTCTTATTCCATATAAATAAAATATTTCACATTATGCCGTGAATACACTGAACTTTATGAGGAGGCAATTTAAGTCGGCGATGTGCTGATGAAGTGAGCTTGAGTGTCTGTAAAAGAAGTGTATTTGCTCCACTGCATGTCATGCAATTAACAGATCACCGGTATAATCATGATATTGATAATAACATCAGGAATATTGAATTCTAATGATTATGTGAAAACTATAAGTATTTATATTTCAATTCTTATAAAAGATTAAGAATACTTCAGTTGGGATCACTGAATAGATTGGATCCATAGAGTTAAAATTTACCCCCAGAACTCCAGTATAGAGAGAATAATAAAAAATGGAAATTCAGAATTAATCAGAAATAGTATATGTTAAGAAATTATCATATCAAATAGAGGTATCGATTTTGGAAAACCGTGATGAAATTTTGAAAAGCCGTAAAAGAAATATTAAATTTTCCTGCATTCATTGCATACTACCACATTTCTATTCTTGCACGCCATATCACCGACCTACCGATGATTTAATCAGTTCTTTGAATATTGGTTCGATTTAATGTAGAGGAATGTATTTCACACAGTAAAATAATAGCTGAGTGAAAGAAAGGCTGAGAGACAGCAAAAAATCTTGGACAAGTGGTAAACTAAGGAATGTCTAGAACTCAGGGTGAATTAATATTCATAAATAAAAGACCTCGAATGAACCGAAGTACATATCACTAGCATGATTGTAAAAAGTGGAAAGATGAGTTAATGAGAAAAAAATCCATTCACAGTTTTTAACCATTTGCAGATTGGAAATATTGACAGAGGTTGGGAACAGAAGGCAGACATTAATTGAGCTCCGTCGCATCCAATATAGAATGTGAAGCATGTCTCACATTCTTGGCCAACTGAAGACAAACCCCGAGTCACGTTGCCGGACCGTTCTTCGGGGCTGTTGGAATTGTATAATTGTGAAGCTTCTCCCAAGAAGCCCGAGGGTGAGTTTTTAAGAGTTTTGCCCTCGGAAGGATCACATGAGAGTGAGCTTCAATTCCCCTCGCGGTGCGGTTGAAAAGCGAGGCGGCGTGTATGGAGGCGAACTTGGTGCACCAGCCTTCGGTCCTACCAGGTGTGTACCTCGGACATGTGAAGAATAAATTTTTTTGTACGGATGATTATGCGAAAGTAAAGAACAAGAAAATTCGATTATGGGGTACCATGAGATTGGGAATACTGCAGAGAAGGTTACTAAGTCGCAGCTCATGCGAGAAGGTCGATTCTGGCCATTCGATGCATAGATCTGTTCTCCTTTCAATGTCGAGAACATGTAACTTCATTTTTTTTCCATCTGTTTTTTATATGATTAGAGCATTCACACTGAGGCATGTCAAGAAGACCGCTAAGAAGAAGAAGAAACTTGGAGGATGGAATATGTTACATGTAGATGATAGCCGAAAAGATAAAGCAAAGGTTTCTGGTTCTAAAACGCCCGAGATTGTATTCACTCGCCCGTCTTTGTTGCGTCTTCTTGGGTCTTCTCTTATCGGTTGCGCGACAAACACATCCTCTAACTAGTGATCTGAGCTCGTGACCGTCAACTTGCAAGAGCTTTGTAAAATTATCCAGCATAATTGAGGGCAACCATCTTTTTGCATGTCTTCAAGTAATTTGTTCGGAGCAGTTTGAACTTTCAAGAAAGAGTACGGTTCTTCAGGTGGCTTTAGGTTTGTCGTCTTGCCTTTTGTTTGGGATTGAAAGTCAGTCATGTGCCTCGCTCGCATCACACTCTCCTGTTCCTGTCTTCCTTCCCTCACTCTTACAATCATTTGTCAACGTGGAACTTGAATCGAATGCTGCAGTACAGTCTTGCGCTCTCATTCTGCTTACGATTCGCATGTGGCCCATGAGTGCAAAACTTGTATAGCTCGTCTTTGTCGTCTTATATTGAACTTTATTGGGAGGTGTACAGATTCTCAAGTTCTCATGCTGCATTTAATCTCGAGATGTAAGAAGTGGCCCTCTATATTTTTCATCCATGTTTTACTTGGTGAGGTCCTCCCAGACTTTTTGCTATATTACTTGGTTTCATGGGAATACGATGAATGAATTAATATACTCATACACCATTTTTCCTATTCTGCGAAATTGGTAGGATCACTTGAAGTTCTATTGATAGTAAATTTTCCAGTTGCAGTATGAAGAAGTATAAGATCTTAAACTGAAAACCTTGAATTGTGGCGGGAATTGTGTTGCTATCAGGATCAATATAAATCTCAACCTGTAGAACATTAAAGTAGTAGGGAACCAAAATTAACGGGTTCGGTCGATCGCGCTAACGCCGCATCGCCAATTTCTAGTAAGAAGTCCGAATCTAGCAGGGCCAGAAAAAGCACATTCAACCAAGAAATGGAAACACAACATCTCATCGTCTGTAAAAGTAGGTGCCAAAGCTCCTGCAGGTAAATGACTCCAACCTATAGGATCATTTCTTCTTATTTTCTCATATTCATACAAGTCCATAGTCCTCGTGAGCAAATCATATTGTGAAGGACATAGTAGCCATAGAACAAAGAAGTAGACAGAAATTAGCTACTTCTTAAAACTGGCTCAGTTTGTGTAATATCCTTGGTTGAATGGTAGCTTTTCCTGCTCTGTCGTAATTTCGTTTCGCTCGAGTAAGGTGCTGGGTGGCAGCTTTGCTGCGAAATGCTCGAAAAGTTTCAGTGTAAGGCTTCTACCGGTAGTCATCATTGTAGTCGTGGAATTTGAAGAGATACTACACTATTACGAGTCGTGGCGCATTAGAAAATAAATCCGGTGATAAATAGATGCGTGAACAAAAGATCATGATTGATACACGAGTCATCCTGTACACACAACAGTGTGTGTAGTCCTGCCTTAACCCTCTCCTGTTTTCATCAGACCCAGGGGGTCTAGATGAACTAGATAACACATACTTGCAAACTGGGTCAGACCCAGTTTGCAAGTATTTGTTTATCTAGCTCATCGCCATACGACGAAAAATTACGGCAGTAATTGGTGAACGGTATTCGCAATCTGAGTAGATCCTAACTCTTGGTAGGTCCAATACAAAAGTTCGAGCATGGGAGTGTCGAAGGAGTGTAAAGGTAAACTCTTTACCTTTTTCAGAAACATTGTTCCTCTTTCTCTTCGCAAGCTTACTGTACAAATTTAGCCATGGACAATTCCATTCCAAGTGAAGGAATCGATTTAATTTTACTTATTCTAGGGAATATATGTAGTATCTGGCTGGAAGCAATCTCCAACTCTGGTTATTTACATGGCCAAATTTTACTCCATCATAAGTGGCCACTTGTCCTTGCTATTAAGAATTGCGAACAGTCCCCTTGCTCTAATTCAGGTGAAACCTGTGACACATAGTACTAATCAAGCATTGAATATATTCTATCCAGTTATTAAAAGTGGTCGCAAAGTATCAATCTTTGTTCACTTTGCTCAATCTCACCTTCAGTTATGTTATATTGCAACAGTTATCAGTACCATCAGAGCCTCTGTTAATGCAAGTGAAACCGGATTTTAACAGACTTCGAGTTGTAAGTGTGTTGCGAATAAGTGCTCTACAAAGAAGTGCCACAACTTGGAGTATGAGGGTGGACACCGAATTCTGTACGACGGACAGATGCCTGCTTTTGGTATCATGAGATAGATGATGACAACGGTCTTATAGCTGAACTTTACACTCTACCTAGCCATATCGAGTGATCTCAATAACAGCATACATTCAGTACAGTATAATTCATTGAGAAACTCTACGATTGCTGAACATTTAATTATTTCCGTATCATCATCCCTTCATCCCCATGAAATGAAATTATTCCCATCATGACTTGATCTTGACACTTGAGTTTCAATTCGTTGTGTAAAATATAAAATGGTAATTGAAGGTAAGATAACATACATCACTTAAGAACGAAATTGTTCATTATTTTTCGTAGTAGATAGGCTAGTGTGAGGGGTTAGTATTCACTATAGGATATGTTTTGGTAGTTTTTTGGCTTTAGTTCACATCTAAGATTGCTTGTGAGCTCCATGACCACACTCAATCTACGTTCAGTGTGAATCAGGTTCTATATATTCTTACGTAATATTTATCAGTAAATAACTATATTCAAAATATTGTCACTTTGATGTTCAAATTATGTCAAGCGGAGTGTGGGAATTTATGAAGAGACAGCATATTTTTCACTTCAAACTCTACGTTTGAGTAGAGTAGAGTTTGAAGTGAAATTTTTCACGCATGGTCGTATGGATAAGTGAACATGGCCCTTTAGTTTTACTACTTCCACCAAAGCATATATGTTATACCAAGAGGCCAGTTTGACATAAGGAGGTGTTGTTATTCATGAAGAGACTAAATATACTGTTCACTTATTTCTTTATATGATGACACATGATCCTATGGATAAGTTAACATGATGTTCGCTTCTTGCATTTAAATTATGATTTTTATACTGAACCAAGGAACCAATTTGACATAAGAAGGCGGGTGTTGGATTTTCGTTCTTCGGCAATGAACTAGAATATATGACTTTTAACAAACTCACACTTTAATAGCTAGCTTTGGAGTTATGAAATTTCCAGAATTTGCTCAAATACGCTGATTTTGAATCTGTGGGCATTTTGAAAAAAACATAGAACGTTGATACTAGCTCTACATACTTTGTTTACGGCTACTTCTGTAGCCATAAAACTTGTTTGAATATGTTGTCTTTACACTTTTACATACATCTATGGGCTAGGTAATACGGTTATTGATCTTAGAGTATTGGATGAGGGGCTTTTAAATTTTATTTATCGGAAATCACTTCTATGCAAAATCTTACATTTATGTTATATTGCAAATATCAAGGATAGATCTGGAATTACTTTAAGAAAACTGGAATAAGTGATAATTCTATTGATTCATTCGAGTTTTTTGTGTGGCTGTATGTGAATATCAAACACAAAATGGTGTTGAAGGTATCAAATTGCACCATGATGTTTTACTATTATCTTCGAATATAATTTCAACTTCACAACTTTTTTATCAATATTGGCTTGAAATTGCGACAGTATTATATTGTGAAATAATATCTTTCGAGATTCAGGCATTTCTACGTCCGTGTCTGGATTGGTTTACATGACTGTATGACTGAATATCGATTTCACTGATATTATTATTTTAGATATTTTTAAATTCTTCACATGCTGATTCTTTTTAAAGCATTCATCTAAGGTAGTTTAAAGTGTTTAGATAAAATAAGAAAGTCATATGATGTGATATCTATTTTTCATGAACTATGTGAAAGTTCGTTTTGGCCAAATCAAATGAAACAAATCATCACATTTTGAATTGGAATTGCTTTTTGAGTTAGTTAGAGCTAATACAAATGATACGTATGGATATTCTATGCATAATAAGATTGATGATGGAAGAAATGATATTTTAAATTTAAATTTATAAATTTACACGAAGTTTTTATTTTTATAAAATATATATTTAATTTTGATCGAAGTTTAAGTGAGTGGATAATTTTTTATTTAATGTGAACCCTAAAAGTTGTCATTGGAGTGATTTTATTGCAATATATTTGACATGCTGATCATATTTTTGTATTCTAAAATAAAGAAAGGAAATTTTTTCTATACATTGTTATTTGGAATTGAGAGTATATTTTTTGATATAATCTATGTCTTTTTAAGATAAGTTTCTGAATTATGAAGTCTTTCATCATCTGAGTTTAAACTGAATTCAATATTTTGCTATATATTTTAATTTTTTAATAAAATTTGGTCGTTATATCTATATTCGTACTTGAATGAGTGAATTTTTTTTGATCTATTATCTTATCAAATGCAAGTTTTGATTTCCATATGAGAGTTAAGAATACTCAAATATATACTAGGTTGAGTATAGCCAATTGATCATCGACGAGGATAGACATTGTAGTATGTTGGTTTATTACATTTGAATTTATAAGGAATTGGATAGTCAGCTTCAAGGGCATTATTTATTAAAATTTAATGAAATATATGTTTATAGACAATTATGCATTTGATCCGTAGAGAGCTGGTGATATACATGCTCAGTGAGACTTGTGTTTTATTTAGACCTCTGTCGTTTTAACAAGCAAGTATAAAACAAATCGTTCGACCTGCCATGTCAAGCTCACTATACTACGAAAGTTTCCACACGATCGGTCTACGAGCCGTCGAAGGCATATTGCCGCCTCAATGCTGTGGAAGATGTTCCATGGTTTTATGGTTTTATGGAACATATTGACCAGAAGGGGGAGCTGTGGTTAAAGAGAGGACGGATGCTAAATATAGGAAATTGAATTAATTGTGGGAAGTGTAACTGACCCGAAGAACAAGAAGTGGAGAGTTCAGTTATCGATGCAAGGACGTAGTAGTGGACTCCAGATGTGTACGAGGGTTTGTCTACACAGCCTTGGACCGGCTGGATCATACGGGGCGCCGGTGGGCCCGCCGTGCTGACAATGTGGATTGAGTTACGCTTGGAGGAAATTGAAGCCTGGAGGGAGAAGTCGATGATTAACTACGAGAGCGCAGGAAGAAACATTCTCATCCATATATCCAGTGGCCAAGACCATTATGCAAAAGGACAAAGCTTCGCGTCGCTTGCCAGGTTGTAGTGGTTTCCAATGCGCACTCTTACTCATTGCAGCTCGCCTCTCATCACCGCCTCCGTCTCCATTTCGATGGTTGCTCTCGGGTTCTTCTGACCACGGACACGCCGGAATATTCTCTGTGCCGTGTGTTCACGGTTTCCAAGCTCACGTTCTGAACCATCTCACGAAAGCAGACGGTCCGTCGATCGAAGCTCGGCATAGTATGGCTCATACAAAGGTCCGAGATACGCATTTTTCATGTGTTCTTGAATCGTGGTAACTGATCTATGATTGTGTAGGAAATTCTGCTTTCGAGCTCCTCGAGAGTTTTCAGTTGCGGACTACTTGTCCCTGACGCGGTGATCAAGAAACCATTAGGGTTTGTAGAAGATGGATAAAGGGATTCGAGTACAGTGCACTATAATTCTAATACTGTTATGGTCACTGGTGGTGAATAAAGTATTACCGGTTTACTTCCATTGACGTGATGAGATGCTCGAGATGTATGGAAATAGATGCACACATCAATGCTTAATGTACTGTAGGCTCCCTGCTCTCACGTTTAATGAAGTTCTCGTGTTCTAATGTCTCAATGCGAGACTTCGACGCACTGTTCTCCGTAGACTGGGGTAGCACGCAGGATTGGGAAATTCCATCCAGACCGGTGATCAGGCTGATAGGGAACAGCTAAATCTTGAGATGGTATTAAGTGATGAGGAAATGCAATGCATGATTTATTCGGTGAAGCAGCCACGAAGAGAGTGGAAGCCAAGCGTGCTGAGGATCTCCAGGCGACCGCAAAGTTCCCCGCGGGGTCAAAGTCCCATGTGAAACGAAAAGACATGTTTTGGTCGACTTTCAGGATCCTCGACATTCGCATCTCACGTTAATAATAGCCAGGACGAGGAGGCAAAGTTCACTGGGTTTCGCGCCTATGATTGACAGCCCCCATGAAGGTGCCGAGATTAGTAAACTCCAGACATCTGTCATTCCCGCCATTTTTTCTACATTTCTCGGTCTTCATTCCCAAAAGAGTTTGAGTGATATAGCGATTGATTACGGTCCTCATCGACAACTCCTTGCACGCCCTAAATATCGAGAGCGAGCAGCGAGATAAAGGCCAGTCAAAGTGAATGAGAGGGCCGATAGCAATCAATCACGTCTGAAGCATGCACCGAAAAGATGTGCTCGGGTGGAAAAATTCCCACCTACGGGCCTAGATGAAAAAGGTAGAGCTTCCTCCCCATCGCGAAGAAGAACAAACCCCAAAGCAAACACCGGTGCATGCCTCGCCATGGGGGGGAAATCTGTGGGGCCGGAATGTCGGGACCCTGCCTACGACGAAGGAAAGTCATGTCAATCAGAGACCTTTGTTGTTGTTGATGGAGTATTGCTGCTGCTCTCGTAAAGCAAATACTCCCCACAGTCGTTTCTGTAACCTTCCGACAAACGCACATTGCCTCGAATTAACATAAACAGAACCGTCCAACTTAACTCCTCATAATTGACGCCTCCATCTTTAGCCCCTCCGTATGATGAACTCCTCGGACCCCTTCTTCTTCGCGTGGATGCTTCATTGTGGTCCCCCAAAGATGCATCTTTTCTTCGCCAACCCACCAATCCGTCGTTCAAGTCATAACTCTAACCCGACCTCACTCCAGCTGGGTTACCGCGACTGGCGCGACCGTGGTTAAGGTGAAAATTTCACCGCCCGGGTGTTGGTTGGAGCTAAAAAAGTGTGATCGGCGGACGCGACGGCAAATCGAAGGTGTTCAGGCATCCTGCGAGTCGAATAGGGCCCACGCGTCGCGATCGATAGTGCCCGGCCAACGACGCTGGCAACCCAGGCTACGGCGTCAACCAGGTGAGGGAGCTACCATGGTTGCGACTCGGGGATGCCATCGTTCCTCGAGACCGGTCTGGAGGCCGGAAGAGCGCTGAGACGGGAGTCGGGGGGTGAAGGGTGCGACGGGTCGTCAGGCCGTCAGGCTTGCGGAGCGACGTGTCCGTGTGCCAGGAAGGACAGTGAGTGATGGCCGGTACACGTCACGCAGCGTGGCTGGGCAGGGCAGGGCAGGGCAGCACGGGCTGTAGGATCGCAGGCCCCGTGTAGCCCCAGGATCGCTGGCACGAATATCCTGCGACGAAGTTCGTCACAAGGCGGAGCTCGAGCTCGAGTTCGGGTCCGAGGCCCCGCGGCGTAAATGGCATCATCGGTGCCGGAGGCATCAACCGGGCGGACCTGGCGAGACCGGCGATAGCCGGAGCCATCGCCAAGGATGGCCGGGGCTCTCGCGGGGGTGGGGGTGGGGGTGTAGCCATGTGTAAACCACAGAGAAGATTTGTGTGTCCGGTCCTCCGGCCGACAGGGAGCGGGCCAATCAGGCGATCGAACGGTCGAGGGAGGGAGGCGTACAGGATTCTGGGATATATCCATTTCTGTTTATTCCGATTGGGCCGGGGGCCGGAAATAACCGCGGTCGCTCGAAGGCGGGGGCCGGGGGGCCAATCCGCGTGGCGGAACCCGCGCTCTCCCTCTCTTCGCGTGAGGGCGGCCGAGCCGCATTCGTGTCTCGAGCACCCACCGGAACAGAACGAGAAGCTTGCTGCTGCGGCCTTGCTCAGCGATCTCGCAGCGAGTGGCCATTTGGGCGATGCGCGCAGCGCTCTATGATCATCGGCTGCACATGTCGTCGTCGTAGGGATGGCGAGAGAAGCGCCCTGCGGGGAGAGGGAGAGAGAGAGGGACGGGAAGGCGCGGGACCGTTGTCGATCGCGGTGAGAGGAGGACCAGGACAAGGACGAGGACGAGGACGAGGAGGGGCTCACGGTCATGATGATGATGATTATGATGATCTTTCAGTGCTCGTAGCAAAGAGGTGCAAATCCAGGCCCGCTTGGAGGCCGCGAGAAAGTTACCGCCGCGGCAGAGGAGTAAAGTTTTGGCATAGGAAAGCGGAGATTCCTCATCTTTCTTAGATACATCATACATACGACCCACCGCTCGAGAGGCACGGACGAGTGCATCCTCCTCTAGGCGCAAGGGCTGCTGCAGTTATCGGCTAAAGTGGAGTGGAGTGCGATTGGAGTTCACCCTCTTTAAGTGATTGGTTTTGTATTGCGGTGTCAGCGCTGGAGGACGGGGCTGGCGGGGTCCGGGGTCTGGGTACCGGGGGTGTCGCTGGGTAGCGGCAGCAGGAGCAGCAGCAGCAGTGCGGTCCCTTCGCCGTCAGGCAGGCAGGCAGGCAGGCAGGCAGGCACTCGAAACCCCACCGGGAAAATGGAAAAGACTTTGGTGGTGCCCTGAGGTGGTTTCGGCTCGGCACGGCCACTCCATTGGAGGGCGTCACCGCTAGCCATATATGAGTGCAGGTGCGCCCGCTGCGCTCCTGTCAGAGGTGCCCAGTCCGGGCATGTCATTCTCGGGAATTTGAAAAGCACCTGCTCGTCAGTCCTGCCCAGTCCGTCGCTCCTCCTCATTTTCCTTCCGTTTGCTTCTGCTGCTGCTGCTGCTGCTCCTGCCGAGGTTAACGTTGCACGCCATGCTCTTTGATTCCCCCTCGTAATCGCCTTTGCGACCCCGAAAGCGAACGGGAGGGAGGGAGGCCTTGGAGGGGGCCCGGGACGGGGAAAGGGGGCCGCGACGAGCAAGGAAGGAAGGAAGGAGAGGATCATCGAGAGGATCATAAATGTGTCAGAGCTTTACCTTGCGGAGCTATTGTCTCCTGTTTAACGGTGCGCTGGTAGTGTAGAACAGCACGAAAGGATTGACGCTCGTAGTTGTCAAACTGCAATCGCTGCCAGCGCGGAACGGGGCAGGGCTTCTCTCTCGTTGCAGCCTTTTTTCTTCTTCCGGCCGAGGAGGCCGCATTGCGCCACTTGCCCGATGTCGAGCGACTACCCCGCGAACTACTCTTGTTGTGTTGAGCCAGCGCCTCGTCGTTCCGAGAGGGCTTTGCGACATGGTGGTGCCGATTGAAGTCTGTCTTCGCGGCCATCGACGCTAGCGTGTTGCGCTCGTGACTTTCTTGGAGGCTGCCGCTGGCCAATGTAAGAGCGATTCGCGTTCTGTCTCCTCTCCCTCTGGCTCGGTTGTCTATGGCATTTCTGTGACAGCCATTGCTCTGCCTGGCTGTTTTTCTCCCTTGTGGCGCTCGAGCTTAGCGGACCTCCCGACTTACTGGCCGCTCGTCGCGATTAATTATCCGAATCCTGTGCCAACGACGAGTCCTCTCCTTTCGGTGTCACAGGAGAAAAGAGTTGCCTCATTTGGTCCTGAGGGATGCAGTCCTCTGGCTCTCGGCCCGCTGAGTTTCCTCCTGCATGATCGAGTTTGCGCGTGAGGTTTGATGCGGTCAGTGGGAAAAAGCGTTGGACGCTTCGTCCTGATTGTGTTGCTTCTTCTTCTGAGGGTACTCCCGTCGGCCAATGGGGAATGCGCTACGTGGTTCTCTTGGTTCTGGAATGAGCGGGGAAGTGGTTAGAGCAGGCCTGTGGGCAAACGCTGCTGAAGATACTGTTTTGTTCGAGGCCGCTTATCTAAATGTGAAGGCTTAGAGTGCCGTATCCAACACCCTCATGTCTGCGATGGAGTAGGTGGATCTGCATATGTTTCGGCTACTTCGCTCCGCAATTAATCTCCCTCGTCTCAGGAACTTGTCGGAACTCGGCGTGTTGCTTCCAAAGATCTCTGGAAATTGTTGGTCGAGCGCTTAGGAGATAAGCAATCCGGCGTGTTTCTTCTCTGATGCGACGTTTCCTCTAGAGTGTAGTAGCGGCGTGCCCGCTGAGAACGTAGATCAATGCAGCAATTAGTGCGAGTCAGTCCCTACGACGGGCCCAGTTCTGACTGCACGATGATGCAACGAGATGTTCAATGCCATGGCTGAGGAGGACAGTGCGGGATGGGCTAGGCAGTTGTTTGGATGCCTGCCTCCGACGTTCTGTTGCCTTCCTATGCTGACACTCCGCTCAGTTCATGCAATGTGTGGGCAGTGTGCATTTTGGCCGTTTTGACCATTGAGAGAGTGGGATCGGAGTCTCCTTCCGAGCGAGCGTTGTCTCTGGTGTCGTCGTGTTGACCTTTCTCGCTGCTCACTTACCCCTCCGTCTGTCTGCAGGTATTTTGAAGTGTAGGTTGATTGCGTATAAGAACTAGCACGATGGTGCAGTCGGTGAAAACTGCGAAGTGGATAAAATCCGCAGTTAAGAAGGCCTTCAGGTCCCCGTCGAAAGACAAGTCTCCTCAAAAGGAAGGAACTGCTGAGGAGGTGGGATTTTTTATTTTCCAGGAAGCCAGCTCTGTCGACTGATACGACTGCTTTATGGCTACTTGTGGTAACGCTTTAGAAGATTCAGGAATTGCAAATGGGCGCACAGTCAATCTTGTCTTCGTTGCAAACAGTGGCTGCCCGTGCTCTGCCCACAAATTTGACAGTTTCTTTTGCTTTTCACCAGGGAGCGGCGGCTAAGAAAACCACTCCGAAGCGCAGGTGGAGTTTTGGACGTAAAAGCCATGACCGTCTTGCTCTGAATGAAGAAGCCAGCAAGGGCGAGTCTGGAGCGAGTCCGCAGGACCAAAATAAGGTTGTGAGTACTGCGACTGAAGAGGTGGATACCTCTGGAAATGAAGTTTCGAAGTCGGTCACTTCTTTCGGGGAGCCCGTGTTCCGGGAATACGGTCCGGCCGAAGTCGCAGCGTCCATCAAGATTCAGACCGCGTTCCGGGGCTATCTGGTACAACATAGCCTCGACCGTACTTTGTGCTGATTTGCTTGGGATTTAATGGAAGTTTAATTTTCACTGAAATGGAACTTGCTTCCAAGCTCGGCGTAATGCCCGCAGGTTGGGGAAGGCTAGTGAAGTACTTCGGCCTTCAGATAGGATCGGTCGAGTTAGAGGTAGCGCTTGAATGTAGTGCTCGATCGTGAGGTCATTAAGTTGCTTAGCTCACCACCGTCTTTGCTTCCCCAGGCTCGGCGAGCGCTGAGAGCTCTCAAAGGCCTCGTCAGGCTGCAAGCTCTGGTGCGTGGGCACACTGTGAGGCGGCAGGCAGCCATTACTCTGAGATGTATGCAGGCGCTGGTGAGAGTCCAGGCTCGTGTCAGGGCACGTCGGGTGCGGATGTCGGAAGAAGGACAAGCAGTAATGCGTCAAATATCTCAGTCGAGGGAGCTGCAGTACCGAAGGCAATCGGTAGGTTGGCTCGCCCAGTTCGTGTGCAAGAGTTCGCTGTTCCGGTCCGATCTCGAAGCGCGTAGTGTCTTTTCTCCTCAGCATGTTTGACTGCGACGGATGTCACTCATCCGTCTTTCTGCTTCAATTTACTGATATCACTCTCTGTTTTCGAATCCGTACTGATATCCTCGAACCCCGTCTGGACTGATCAGGGCGGTCTTGTCGCCGTTGTCCCGATGGGTTTTCAGGATAGTTGGAACGCTAGCACTGCGACATTGAAGGATCAGCAAGCGAAGGAACAGAGCAGGGAAGAGGGTGCCCGCAAGCGCGAGAGAGCAATGGCTTATGCCTTCTCGCAGCAGGTAATTCCTCTGCCTTCTTGGTTATGGGTTTTTTCGGTGGCGCTCTTCGCCGCTGAAGACGCAGGCACGGTCAAACATCCGGGCTGGGAATGTCTTATATGGTTGCAAGATAAATGAATTTCACCCAGTCGAGTGTTGTGACTTGCTATGTCCTGGGCTGAAATTCTCACACGAGTATTCTCATTCGTCGTTTTCCGTGCTGCAGTTGCGGAGGTCTGCCCCGAAGCAAACGCTGTACATCGATTGCGAGCCGGATCAGCCACATTGGGGTTGGAGCTGGCTCGAAAGGTGGATGTCAGCACGTCCCTGGGAAACCCGCTTCAGTCCCGAGGCCACGCTATCCGAGAAGAGCTCGAAAAAGAGCACCAAGCTGACTCCCACGAAACCTAGTGACCCCGAGAGGACTCTCCGAGCTGGACACAAAGGTTCAGATGTGGACAAGGGCATTCTCAAGAGTGGGGCAAGGAACAGCGTCGACGAGAAGACGCCTGGTCCTAGGAGTGTAGCTAAATCCACAGAGGATCGCAAGGAGGTTCTCAAGAGTACCCCAGAGGCTGGAGAGCACACTGCCAAACACAAAAGCCACCCCAAAAGGAGGTGGGGTTCGATCTCCGATTCCGTGGGATTACTGGCTTCCACACCTTCGCAGCCACCAACAGCAGTTCAGTCCACTACCACCAGCCCCAAGGCCACTTCGCCCCCCCAGGCATCCGCACCCCCGGCAGCACCTCAGGTACAGCCGTCCGTTCCCGCAAGCCAAGTAGCTTCTACTCGTGCATCACCAACGGCCTCGCCTCCTCCTGCTGCAGGAGTCTCGTCTCCGCAGGCTTCTCTATCCCCCCCGGTCCCATCATCCCCCTTAATGGAGCTGGCAGCACCTGGGGACTCTTTCCTCACCCCTTCACCCCCTAAGGCCTCAAAGACTTCGTCTCCTCAAAAGGCGTCCGTTTCTCCTCCTCCGGCTCATTCTCCTGCGGTTCCTTCATCACCCACCGAACAAGCTTCCCCTGGAGCACCTGAATCTGTGCAAGATCGAGCTGAAGACGGTTTGGATCATGGAAATGGGTCTCTGGTGGAGGAAATGCTATATGCCGATGCTAATGGAGATGGCGCCCGTGGGGGACTGGAGAGCGGTCTTTCCACACCTCAGGCATCTGTTGGCAGCAAGGACAAGTTCATGAGGCGCCACTCTTCCTATGCAGGCCCAAAGGGTGAGCACGGAGAGCACCATTCTGCCCTTCCCAGCTACATGCTCAGCACGGAGTCTGCGAAAGCCAAAGCCAGGTCGATGAGCAATCCAAAGTCAAGACCAGAGACAGAAAAGGAAGATACTGTCGTCAAGAAGAGGTTCTCGCTTCCCGGTGTGGCAGAGGTGAAAACATCCCCGCGTTCGGCCAGGCCCACGGCCAGTTCTCTAGTGCGAACCAGCCTGAATAAGAGCTATTTCGGTCCAGTCAAATCTGACAGACCTGGATCTGTGATGTCACTTAAGGACGTTAGCGGCAGTGAGTTGAACCACAGTACGAATACTTCGGTGAATGGAGAGGCTAACAAACCCATGAAATGGAGGTAGTCGTGTTTCGTTATGTGTCTTTCTCCTCACGGATGACGCAGTGTTGGTACCAGACTGTATACCTCTCTGCAGGGTAGAAGTCTCTGTCTGCAGTGTAGGAGTTCTGGCCCTGCTTGTTATCTACCCTGTCTGCGTAATTGACTGACGTTCACCGCTGCCATGGAGGGCAGAAGGTTGGCAAAGACCAGGACTGCACAGCCATCGCTATTTCCTAGGAACCTCTTGTGAGCCGTTCATGGTAGCCAGAGTTGGCCCAACTTGACCGAAGTGTCCATAAGTTAAAAGTCTTATTCTTTGAAGCAGGAGTTTCGCTTTTTGGTTGAGCAGCGAAAACATCTCTCTGTGGGGGCCCTGAAGTTATGAAGAGATTTAAAAGCGGAGGCACGGAGGTTTATCTCTCTGCATCGCTGCTGTCTTTCTTATAGTTCGCAGACTCTTCAGGTCCGAGTTAAAGAGGCTTGTGATTGCGTCTTGCCCAGTACGCACTTCATCAATGAAGTGAGGTATGACGTACATAATTGGATCCCTAAGGAAAAACACCCGCCTGTTCTTCGAGGGAATTTCTACACAGTTTTGTTTCCCTTATTTCTTTTGGTTCGCTCCAGGATCCACAGGGCGGGTAGTAGAGAGATAGTGCGCGGACGCTGCAGAGGAATGGGCCTAGGAGCTGCGGGCAAGGCCCACTGTAGAGGTAGAGGAGAGGGGTGCTAGTTGTAAATCCTTAGTACCCACCCCTCTTTGGCTGTGGGTGCGTCTATAGCGTATCCTGTTTGATGCCGGTGTTTCATTCTAGCAAGTAGTTACCTGTCGAAAACTATTCCAATGTGTCAGTTCCCAGCTTTGTGGGTGCGCCGTGCTTGTTGACCAAGCGTAGCGAACGCATCCACGAGCCTGAGGTGATGAAAAAGATATGATAAGTCGCTGTATAGACCGCTCTGCGGGTTTTGTTGCACTAGCGCATTGTTCAGATAGCAAGCAAGTTTGTTTTGTTACCATAAGGGAAAATGATGCCTGGACAACGCTCCTCTGGCTATGGAATTGGAAATTAAAAGAGTTGGAACTGGGTGATCGCTTGTACCTTACAGGGAAATCTTGTACAGAGTCTAAATCGTGTATTACCGGTGTGAGCGTCGGAGGTTTGACCAGTTGGTTGAATAAATTCAATTTTGAACATTAATCCCGTCTCCTGCCTGTCTTATGCAAAGCCCACTCCTTTATCTCCGGAATACATCGACGCTCTCACCACTTGAAAGTTTGTCGCTGTGAATCCTTCCAGCTGAGTTGAGTACGTTCCAAACGCTCTCTGAACTGATTTGAACATCTCCTCATAGATGGTCAGATCAGCAAGCGGTGAATGACGTCCCGTGCACAAGCGAGTTGCATGTGCTCCACTTCCAGTCAGTGTAGTGACGACGGCCAGGCAAAGTTCTGGTTTAAACTGTCGAACATGCGCTTCAATTCAAACTAGTCTGCACGGGCAGTGTTGGGTACCATTAAGTGCGACCAACTGGAGAAGATGGATTGTCCTCTTCTATCCTGCAGTTTCAAAATTCCTCCGATTCTGCCTGCAGACCATCTAGCAAATACAGCAAGACAGAGTGCCACAGCTACACTGGTTCCACTGGACTGTTTCAGTAGTGAGGGTCGTGAGACCTACTCACGATTATCGACTCTCTGAGTATCATCTTCACTGAAGATTCCCTCACGCGATGCACGACATTAATTCTTGCAATCTGGCCAGCCACAAGCGGCGAAACTCAGTCGGATGTACCTATTCCAGCTCCGCGGGAGCTTCGAAACGATGGATACAGCGAAAAGAATCTGAACGAAGATAACGAAGACCAGCCCCGGCTCTCTGCGCAGTCCATGTGACATGACACAACAAAGACACTTTCTGCTTACCGTTACAGTCGTGCGAAACGTTCTGGCACAGCAGCGCTGTACCGGAAAGGCCGACTGCCATCTCTTGTACGCACTAATCGTCACCTAATTAATCCGTCTGACCCCGAGCAGTAGCGAAATTCTTCACATCACAAAGTCAGTCAGAATTTGAGGGGAGGTGAGGTGCCACTGCGGCCCTCCTGATGGCCACACAGGCCACCTCCGAGAGAAGACGACCTGCGCAAATTGACTTCGGGAGCTAACCGAGGGCCAACCCAGGGCCTCGTTGGGAGGCATTGGATGGGCCTGGACTCCCACCGACCGAACTCTGGTTCGATGCCAGGACTCTACAGACTGTACAATGCAGTGGCTAAGTCAGCTCCTACCGTATTGCACGCTGCTCTGCCCGCAACGCTGCCCCGTTCCCCCAGTGCTCCCCCCCACTTGACGCCACGCAAGCACTTATAACGGAAATGCCGAACGCCTACCGGACCTCGTTTTCTCACCCTACACGTGGACTCACACGGGCTCCCTCCGTCGTCCGATCGGGCAACTCGACCATGCGAGCAGAGGTACTGTACAGGACTGTGAATTTACGAATTTACTGTGAATTGCGGTCTGAGTCCCGTATCCAGGGATGTGACCGTTAGCGGTCGTTGGGCGACCGATCAACACTGGACATGGTGGGTGTTTGGCGACGTCGCGCGCCGAGGGAGTCGGGGACGCGTCGTGGTGGTGGGCGTCGCAGCGACGACTCTAGGATCGTCTGGGTCTGTGCGCCACTCGGCGCAGGGATTTTGCGTCCTGGATTTTCTGGTTTCGAAGAATGGAATTCATGGATCGAAGGATGAATTCATGGCCGAGCGAGAGTCGAGTGTGCAATCGGTACAGCAGCAAGTGCGGAGTGTTCCATGTGGTCGAAATCCGCTGATTTCGCCTTCTTGTCCGAGTCGCATCGCATGGCCCCTTCCCAGTCATTGGGCTTGAGCTTCTGATTTATCGCTTACGTCTCTCGTTCCGTAGCGCAGGCGGAGAAGCGGGTTCTTGGGGGTTTAGGGGGCCTTGCAGATTTTCTCATTGCATCGGATTCTGTCAGCTCTGGCTCGTCGATTCGCATCACTGAAGGAAGTCGAATAAGCTTCTCGTACTAAACATATTTACGATCTTCTCGCGGTCTGATTGCAGTGGAATCAGACAAGCCTGACATGAGAAGATAAGAGCGCTAGAGGGTTGGAGAGAACCTCTTTATTTCGAAGGTGGCTATCAAGGTGAGAAAAGAACCGTCAGGAAGTAGAATAGGACGACCGCGTTCTAGACCATAGAAACATTCCCTACTGGAAGCAGTAGATGGAAGATCTGGACTAACAGAAAGCTCAACTCGAGATTGTACAGGAGGGGTTAATTTGGGTTCTAGAGGTTTAAATTCTTTAAGTACTTCAATCGTGATGGGCGCACTTGCAGATACATTCAGCATCCATAACGTACGAGGAAGAAATCCGATCAAATAGTGCTCCGCAGCTCAACAAATAAATGCAATGCCTAGGTTCAGAAACGAGGAAATTTAAGAGACTTGACCTTTTAATCTGCGTCCAAAGTTGCCGGTTGTGCCAGTGGCAAGATTTCTGGCGAAGAAATCACAACTGGAGTCAAAAGGGAGAGGAAACGAGGAAAGAGTCATGCATGAATCGATCATAGAACACCGAAGACTCTGCCACCTACGACTTCATTATCCGACTCAAGAGGGCTTTCAAATATTGTTTGATATTAGTTGGTCTCGTTGTCGTACGCGGGTGTAATAGTGGAGGGTTCGAGTGTCTTCAGATGAACTCTCTTATCGACATTGTTCAACGGATGGGAACCATGATCGGAGTCTCCATCCACAGTGTTATGTGATTCAGCTACGCAGTGTTGTCGCTCCCGAGGAGACTTACTGGACATCACCCCTGTATAATTTTTGCAGAGAGCACGACACTGGTCTTACTGCAGCTTGGTTGGTCGAGAAAGCGTGGAAGTTTGTATCGATGTAGTTTCTGTGATTACTAAACAAAAACTTAAACCGAGGGTTCACAGCCGATGTACGCGTCCATCTCCCATGCTTCCTCTGGTCTACAGAGCAGACTCTGAATGAAACATCATAATTTCATAACTTCACAATTTGCTCATAAACGGCACCGGACGAGCTCCGAACCAAAGGAATTAAGTTCTTTTATGAACTCGTGAAACCCAACCTTGATTGAAAGGTCATACCATTGATTAGCACAGATTGGCGTCCCTGGCAGACGATGCAAGTTTCAGAGAGAGACAAAGAGGAGACACTGCATTGTACATTTAGAGAGAGGAGCTCTTTCTTGGAATTGGAAGGAACTTCACAAGACATGCCCCAAACCCATCCCGAATCACACTTCGATTCAATCTCTAGCGTTTGATTTACCAGCGTCTAAGCGAACATGTTTAGGGATGAGAACAATTGGACCATGGGCTCGACATAGCAACATTCAACATGTAGCAGCTTCAAAATTTAGGTATCAAGTCATACTAGAAGTTGTATCAGTGACCCGTGTCAGAGCTACAAATCAAGCACTTGGGCACCATAAAATTCTCTCCGTCTTGTCTTTAGCTCTGCTGTAGTAAATACCCTACATGGTCGGAATATCTTCGGTGCAGTGTGATATTATTGAGGTTATGAGCTCACGAGATTCCATCGTATGGGATCTTCTTCACAATCCTTTTGCTAATTTGCCGGGTTTCGAATGGGGCACACAGCCCCCAAAACTCGGAGGAGCCTCAATGCACAGGAGGAGTACCGACGAGAAAAACAGGTGCGCCACCGGAGTGAAAATACACCAGGGATTCTACGTGGAGCCAACACGTTGCCATGTCAGATTAGAAATCCACGTCCTCTTCCGAACCTCATTGGCCTGCATTTGTGATGTGGACGAGTTTGTGGCCCCTGATGAAGCTGCAAGCTGATTGTTCCCGAGATTCTGCGTCCTTAGGGACGTGGCTCATCTCGGAATGATCGCCATGGAGATTTTCCTGCTCCCAGTCACAAAAATCCGTGTCGGAAGTGGGACCCACTCGGCGCGAACTCCTGATCCTGGACTCCCGGATCCGTCAATGTTGCCCACCGTGAATGATATTCAAATATCTTCTCTCACTGTGCATAGAAAGTTGGAGCCCGGGGATCGCTTTCGGGAATGTTAATTTCACAATCAAAGATAATGCCGCCACATTCTCAGCTGCCCAGATGATCGGGCCATCGGCCACGGCCGATACAATCTGAACCATCGTTTCTGCACGATTTCTTGCGGCACAGTAATTTTAAAGATGGCTCTTGGTGACATGTCGCGGCTTTCGCTCTTCCTCTCGCTTCCAAAGAACTTATAAACTTTGGCACAAGTTTGCCAAACATAACTTCTGTCACTCAAATCTCATCCTCCTGATGTCACGGGCCAGAAGAGAAAAAAAATACTATCAGCCCACGTACGCGGATATCAACAAGAACGGGAGCTGTGGTTGTGCAGAATCGGTATATAATGGGAGGTCCATCGGACAGGGAAAGCGAAGGCCCTCGCCGATCGCTCTTTGAACTATCTTTGATGATGCAAACAACCGTTTTCAATGTTGCTGCAGCTCCAGGCCTCTCTTACAATTCCCTCGCTTTCGTCGGACCTTGTCTGATCCCTTGAGCCAAATCGCTTCTTTACTTCTATCTTTGCGTCATTTCCTGTCAACTATTGCATGCGAGGGAAATCCATCAACTCTTAGTGATACAAATACGGCCACTTGTCTCGGAGCAGAAAGTCCGAGGGGATAATTAATTCTTCGAAAAGGATGTGAAACACGTCGAAAGATACGGACTAATGATCTAAAACCTGTCATCTGTGTTCTGTAAGGCCATTGGCACTGGATATCTGCACATGGCATATGAAACTCTTGGGCACCGGCCGCGATTCCATGCTGGACATTGATTATTGCAGGTCACATCTCTACATTTCAACCCTATCGCACATGCCAGAAATATTCGTCATATAAAAAAAAACACAAAACGAACAAAAAAACTTCTCAAAGCGTTGTACCAAAAAACCACTCCACTAGTATCATCACCGAAGAGCAACCCCACGCATCGATGCCATGAAATGTTCTGACACTCGCCCACGACTGGGCAAGCATAATCGGATCCCCATCGCATCAAGCCACGAGCACCGTCGAGTCCCCGAGGCAGGAGGAGTGAAAAGCTGGCGCGGGCACGGGGACGGGCACGGGCTCTGGGACGGGCCGTCAGATTCGACGCTTGGCTTTCCCGGCGGGAGTGGGAATAGGCAGCCGACGGGAGGGAGCGGAGATGTGGTGGATTTGAACTGCGGAGCGGACGACGACGAGATACTTGCGCGAGAGGGGACGGGAGCGGAAGCGAGAAGTGGACGCCCGAGGGAGTGACACGTCGCCCGCGAGGGCTGCCTTCCTTCCACTCCATCCATCCATTCATCCGTGGTCCCGCCCTGGAACCACATCCGTTCATTCGCCACTTCGGTCAGTACATGGCCCCCGCGGCTCGACTCCCGCCCCCCTTTTCGTCGCGCCCTCCTCGCTCCGTCTCCGCTCCTCGTCTGCGCTCCTGCTGCGCCAGCAGCAGCAGCAGCTGCTGCCTCTTCTTCTGCAGCTTCTGGACTCTCGAGCCTCATCAATCCGCCCTTCGTGCAATCCACCTTTCGAACATTCTGGACCCCCTTCTTCATCTCGTCGAATCTCCACCTCATTCTGCGTCCGCGGATTGTCGCCACGAAAGAATTAAATCCGGATTCTGCGACCGAGCCGATTCTTTTGGTGGAATCCGTGCGTTTCAGGGCTTCGAGTGGAGAGCTTAGTGTTCTTGTGTTGGTGGTGGTGGTCGTTGGACGCCAGGTTTGGTCGTCTCAATCGCCATCTGGTTTGTGACGTTGTTCTTCGCCGTTTGGGTTGGCGTTGTTATTTTCCCGTTGCTCAGCCGGAGGGTTCTGTGGCGTAAGTGCTCTTGGGGTTCGTCTGCTCGTATCTTCGACGTCTTCTGCCCAGCAATTCTTCCGAAGTGATCGAGGTAGAGAACTCACTGTTGACCCAGCGAATTCCGGTTGTTGCTGTGACCTGATCCGGTTAGTGTTGGTTGGGTCTTTGATGGTGGAGTTTGTTCCTTTGCCATTATCTTGTAGTTTGTGTGTGTGGATTGTGATCGGGATGTTAACAACGACCACCGAGTGTATTGCTGAACTCCTTGGCCCTTGAATTTAGCGCGTCCTGGGAACTTGCTTCTATATGTCTTGACTTTACTGAGATATCTTCTGTGTGGAAGCTGCGTGTATCTTATACGCGGTATTTTCTCCTGTGAACTACCGCGGTGACTGTCATTTGGAGGCGGAATTGGAGCATGCTGGTCTGTTTTCTGTGCATAGCATATTTTAATGGGCAAGCTTGGAGCTCTCGATGATTATCTGAAACGGTATACGAAGTCTAGCTTGCAATCCTTAAAGGCTGCCCAGGTTTTGGTCGCACTGGGCGGGTAGATAGTTCGATCAAAATTGGTGAATCGAATCAGTCAATGGAGAATGCCGGTAATTTCTGATGTAGCTTGACCTCACAGAAAGATCGTCTCGAATTTTAGTGAATTAAACATGCCTGTGACTTGTAAATTTCGCTACTCGTCTGAGTTGTGGATGGGAGAAATCATGGATGGTTACTTGTGCGAGTGGCGATAGAATCCAGACAGACCCAAGCTGCTATAGTATATATCGAGTCACCATATAGTGTTCACTTTCATCAAAATTGTTTGGTGAATCCCGTGGCTGAGTACGTGAAGTCCTCTGTACTCTACTTCTAGAAGCCAGCGGAGGCTAACTGGACCGCGAAGCCCTAAGTGCTTCCCGTTGAAGTTAGTAAGAGAGCTTCGATTGTGATATCTTCAGTGTGTGTGTTTCGAAATATGCACACTCCTCTTCTGCAGTAGCATGATTGAAAGATTGCTCGTTTATTTTTTGAAATTCCTCTATTCACGCGATTGAACGTGGAGACGTTTACACATGCCACACATCCGTAGTGGCTCTGTCCAACCTACAGGTGGTACATATTTGAAGCATCCATTTTGGCTATCTATGCAATGAACAGTTCTTGATCGTTTTTTCAATTAGAGAAGATTTTATAACTCCAGGAATGACATTCGATTGACAAACCTGAGGTTTTCGGGCACGCTACCCATCTTGGTGAATTGTTCTAAATTGGGTATGTAATTGCTGTTTTGAGTCACTTATGAATTGGAGGACCAGTCCCAAGGGGAGCTGAGAACTAATTTTTAGTTGAATTGCGATGATTTTTTTCCTTTTTTGTCTGACTCTCGTGGAAACTCGTGATCCTGTTCGTACAAAAATATACATAATTAAATTCTTTTCTTCATTGACTTTCCCTTTTCGGTATTTCTCCCTCTCCTATGACCTGTGACAGCGGAATGATACTCCAATCGACTGTCATTACACAACCACGTCTGTAAATCAGTCTCGGTTCAAATAAATTTCCTACCTTCCTTGACGGGAGCTGGTCGAGCATAGTCAACCTTAGTCATTGCCTAAGCTAATCGGTGGGAATTCCCGGTTGTTGATTAAAAGCTTAGCTTTGTCAAAGACGTTATTCCTTTCAACCGCTCTGTATCTACCTCTTCATCAATCGGGCTTTCTTTTCTTGACTCTCTCATTCACATTTTTGCTCTCTCGTTGAGATCTCCGCATCCTGGTTCAAAACCAGGATGCGGAGACAAAACGTGAAATTGCTATGAGTACAGATCTCTCGGGAGTGGAAGTTGACATGAATCGTCTTTCTGGGAATATATTGGATATCTACCTCTGTTCAGTGGTTTTTGGAAAGATGTGTTTAGCTCAAGTTTTGCACAAGCGTGTGTAAGGCGAAGATTGTAGCGCATGCTTTTGCGATCTGATGCATACCCACGTCGGGACTTAAATACCTCCACTCTAACTCCGTTTTTGCACGTATCTCTACTGTTCGTCGCAGACCTATCCAGTACTGCCTGCCTTGGGGAAACGGCTCTTCTGAGGATGGCGGCTACTTTCCGGCTGGTGCTCTCTACTTCGTTGGTGACACCTGCCCGAATTAACCGAACTGGTATGTACTATCTAGCTTGCTTGTCAATCATTAGCGCATGTATGTTGTTATTTGCTTCTTTCGAGACAATACAGGCTTGAGAAATTATCTGGAATGGGTTTGGGATAAATGTTTTTCTCTGTTATCAAAAGTGTACACTAAGCTCTTGCTTCTTAGCCGTGGGTATTCCAATCACGATACTTTCGGGCTCTAGCCCCTGTTCTCCCGTTGGTTTTTTCCTTGTTCGGCTTGATGTTTCTTTCAATCGTTTCTTCTTTTTACGAGGCGCCCGTTTGCGTTTACTCTAAACTTTACAACTAGCCGGCATTGTCACGGCCGGATCGATACAACTTTGAAAAAAGTGCGTTACTCTCTGAGTAGTGCCTCGAGATGAAGAGGTGAAGGTTGTTGCCATCTCTCATGATTGCATGAGGAAATGAGCACGACCTTCTGTAGTATGTGCCCACCCTCAAAATCTTCTCCACACGGTTTGTGAGTCTCTCTATTTTGCTTGTCCACAGAGTAGGGTCAGCTCAGTTGACGTTGTCCCTGCTAATACTCTTGGAACTCCACTGTCTGTGGATTTTAGGCCAGATTGTTCTTTCTTCAAAGGGGGTCAGCTATATAGATAAATAAGTAATTCTATAAACAGTGTATGTACGGTGGACTCGATTCATATGTGATTGGTAGCTGGTGAACGAACGGGTGAGGGACATATTAGATCTCTTCGATAAAACTTTCGACTCTACTGGTCTGTAAGTTCTAGACACTGAGATGTAATGAAATCAGAGTGAATTTGGTCGTTTAAGTCTGTGATTGACTCGATGCGTGTTTTCCCCGTTTATAACTGTACTCTGTTTGTGGTCGTATTCCTCCGCTGGTGGAGCAATAAAGCTGATTGTCTGCACTTTTCAATCAAATCAGAAAGGTCTCTGGTTTTAGCAGATAGTCGAATCACCCGACGGCTTAACCCCCTCTTATTGGGTATCAGCTACATGCTAATACGGTACTGGGCCTCTGAGTTAAGCATTACCTTCTCAATGTTGCAGCACGCCCTTTTTGATGCCGAAAGCCCGTTTAGAGCTTTGCTGGCAGGTCTTTGTCCGTCTGTTCCCTACCTACTATCATGTCATTTGTTTCCTGAATTGTATCCTACTGATGTCTCTGTTTTCTCTTCTAATAGTAGGTCTATGCATAAAGGGCAGGTACTGATCTAGCTTTCAAATCTGGCAGGATTGGAGACTTCGAACAAAAGCACAGTCAGGATACAGGGAGGAAGTGTCAATAGTCGAGCTGCAACTGCACCTGGCCGATCGGGGGGTGGTGTCCTTGACAGACCAACAATAGAGAGACCCACGCCAGGAAGAGAATCTGAGTTCGACCTCAAGTAGGTGTAGCTCGTAGATGTTCTATTTTCTGTTTAACTGTCCTCCTTTCGAGGAGAAGAGGGTGGACAGAGAGCGATTCCACATCGCTATTGTCATTATTGTAGACTCCGTTGACGTCTTATATTCTTGTCTTTGCAATTGCGTATCCATTTTTTACTGACGTCTTGTATGTCCCACTTTTCAGGAAGTCACGCAAGTTGTCGCCTCCATACAGAGTGATGCTGCACAACGACAGCTACAACAAAAGGGAATATGTCGTACAAGTGCTCATGAAAGTTATTCCTGGAATGTCAGTTGACAACGCAGTGAATATTATGCAAGAAGCTCATATAAATGGATTGGCAGTAGTAATTATATGTGCCCAAAATGACGCTGAGGAGCACTGCATGCAATTAAGAAATAATGGACTTCTAAGTTCAATAGAGCCTGCAGCCGGCGGTTGCTGACCTTAACGATCATTTTCACCTCATTGGTGCCGCATCCTCTAGACGTTGTATAATACGTAGACAATTTGTGTGTACAGACCAACCAGCGTGGGGCATCTAAATCTTGTTCTGTAGTGGTTGGAATCGGGAAGGTTGGACTCTCAAGTCTTCTTCCTAGAGTCATCATATCAGCTGTAGTCCTGAGTCCGATTTTACACCGAGGTCTTGGATGAAGTGTTGATACTATCCATGAGGATTTGTACGATACTTGCTTCAATAAAAACTACCTAGTCCCTTGGTCGAGCAACGTTCCAAAATTCTCGCTCTATGAGTCAACCTGCCTGGGTTCTATTTACGCAGTGTGAATCTTCGGAAACGTTGAATACTTGGGTCCATCGAGAGGACATAAGACGAAAATGCTTATGAACACGCTCTGAGTATTACACCAAAAAGCCGCTTACGTTCCTCTGAGCAATCTATAAGTACCCATCTCGACTGAAAGTGCCGACGGTAGAGACGCCAAATCTGAATGGTGCAAGCAGCCCAATGAGATGTAGACGTGTGAACTCTGAAGGACCCACAACAGGAAAAAGTTCGGACTTACAATAGAGGACTACACACTTAGCACTTTTCAGCAAATTCCGAACCGTAGTGGGCGAAAATTCTGTAAATAAATGTGATACTTCTTGCGAAAGCTGAAATCATCTCCATGTTGATCCCCTTTAACGCTTGAATCTTGAAAGTTCAGCTCGTAACCGTCATCTATGCTTATGAGTTGTATACTTTTCAAATATTATGATGATAGAAATAATGGTAAATAAATCAAGCCCTTGATATCCAAAGAGTCAAAAGGTTGAAAAACACAATACAAACGACCCAACTCCATCCTATGAGAGAACCCAAAGAATACTCTAACTAGTGCCAAGAGCAATATAACAATAACTAATAACATCCCTAATGTAACAACCTAAACCATAAGTCTCAAGCTGAAGCAAAGAATAAAAATTCTCAATGACAACTTTATGAAACGGTCTCATATCTACATATCTAGTACAAGTAAGATATACATGCTCTTCATCCTCAACTTTTCTGCCATCACATAGCGTACAAATACGTTCACTCCTATCAATGTTCAACCAATGTCATTCTTCAATCCCTAGACTATGAGATCTTGTTCTATGCCTAGCAATAATATGACATAAAGAAGTAGAGATCTCCGCAAGTAAGAATAAACAAGCATAAGATTCACATTATGTTGATAAAACTCCATTTTATTGCCTCGTATGCTCCAAATAATGCTGAGAAATTACTCCTTGATGAGCTCATGTTGGGCAATAGGTTGCAAATTCCAATCAAGTTCCGTCACATTCCACCTCAAAGACCAAGTCACCACATCTACGAACCACCACTTGGTATGTGACGCAAAGCTTGAAGAGTAAGTCGAGAAGCATCAAGCATCACTCTTTTAACGTAAGTGATAGTAAAAAAGAGAGCTTCAGCCTCAAGAGGTAGTAAACCTGTTTCCACAAGAAGAATAGCATATGAAGTTTGGTTTCTCACATCCAATTCTTCTTGTAAGAAGATTTTTTGCATCCTCTTCAAACGTTGCGAACTTGTTTTCTTACAACTAAAACTCCACACTTGTGTTTCATATAACATAGCGGGAAACACTAAGCTCATGAATAAGAATTTCCTAAGACTCCAAGACACTAGATGAGCTCCTCTATATCTATTTAACAATGAATATAGAGCTTTGAAACCATCTTTTATCCTCTTGTGCACACAAAGTGCCCAACTATAATTGTAAGAGAAATCAATGCCTAAATATCTGTAATTCTTCACTTGTTCCAATTCAAATCCATTGTAAAAGAAAAAAAGCTTGGATCTAGTGCTCACAAGAATGACTTTGGACTTCTCCAAATTGAACTCTATCTGATTTTGAGTACAAAAGCTAGCCAAAGTGTCAAGTTGCTTCTCTACACTAATGACATCACGTGCTAGTAATATGACATCATCTGCATACAAGAAAGCTTTGATGACAAAACCTCCAAGTTTGACAACTTCACTTACACAATCCTCTAACCAGCTTTCTATATCATCTATGAAAACTGAAAAGAGAGTAGGAGAGAGAAAAAAACCTTGAATAACTACAATGGTACTCAAAATCTCTTCGGTTTGAGAAGTGTTGATCTTGACCCGAACGGAGCGGTATAATGTGACCACCGCTGCTGAGAAATCTGATGGTTCTCCAATGATCTGCAATCTTTTTCATAAAAGCTCACAAGACACTATGTCAAAAGCTTTCTTGAAATCAATGAAGGCACACAACAAAGCTTTTCCATTACCCTTGGATTTCTCCCATGAAACAAGCAAAACCAAGTTATGGTCTATAGTGTTGAATGTAGGACAAAAACTAGCTTAAAACCGTGCTCTTTTCCAACAAGATTCAACCCATGTGCTCAGATTTGACTCCATCAATTTGCTAAATAACTTGGCAAACATACTATACACCATGATGGTCCGATAGTTTGTCACCAAGGCATTGTTCCCAGATTTGTGAATAGGAACAATTTTCCGTAGAGACCAAGTTGAAGGAAAGTCATAAATAGCAGCATTCTTTAACACTTTAGTGAGTAAAAGTCCAATAGCATCTCCTCCCCACTTGAGAAGTTCAATAGAAAGACCATCCAAATCCTCACATTTAACATTTGCCAATTTTCTGAGTTGAGTCATCACTTCAGCTTCAGAAAATAAGACTGAATTTCATTCACAACTTGGCATTGATGCAACATTGGAAAAAACATAAAGCTTTTTAACAAAAGAAACTAAAGACTTGGGATCAAGAGTAGGTTTGGAAGATCGTACTGCCAACTACGTCCAAAAAGATTTGGAATATTCCAAGAGCTCATTTGTCAAGCACTCTTGCTTCCGCCTCAAAAAAGCTCGTTTCTTAGACTTTACCAAGTCTTTGTAAAGTCTTGTCATAATAAGCCGATTGTGAAGATCCAAGGATTTATCAACTGATCTCGCTCTCGCTAGCTTGCAATCAAAGTCAACCCATCCATTGCAAGGAAGACCTCTAGCTCTCCTTCTCTTATGTCTCAAAAAGAACTTAGAAGCAAAGCTTTGGAGCAACTCACTTAGTTGCAAACTAGATGTATGTGGATCAAATCTCCAAGTAGTACGAGTCAAGAGATCTTGTAAATGTTGACTATAAAATTATTTCTTACTAGCATTTAAACAAAACTTGGGGGAAGTAGAAACATAGTGACATGTAGAGAGAGGAATTGACTTTGACAACAAAAGAGTAAATAAAAGAGATGTATGATATGATTCTGGTTGAGTCTTTAGAATATCAAAAGTTGAGTCAATTGAACTATTAGTGGCAGAGTACAAAAGATAATCTATAGTGCTAACACCGGTAGAGGAAAAACATGTATTGGAGTGGGAGTTGGGAATGAAAGAGACACCGTTGAGAACTTTCAGATTACATGTGGCTCCAAAAGTCAAATAATGCTCAGTCAAGTCATTTGTAGAATTATTAGAAGAGACTACAAACCACAAACTATCTCTACTTTCTTCAAAAGAGGTAGAATATAAGTGATCAGATTGTGAAAAGATAATTTATCTTTGAACTTTGATGAAAACCATGAAGAAAATATAATTTCTTACAATTTGAAACACTACTCAAATGTTATATTCATAGGTCTCAGATCACTTTCCCTTTTCTATAAATGATTTTCAGATTTGCATGTTACTTCTCATAATTTGCTAGTCCAGAATGAAGTTTTTGGACTTTCAATGTGATATAATCATATTACTCAAATGTCAGTGAGATCATGTGTTTGGACTGAGGAGATAATGGTCTTCTTTGATAGATACCAATTTGATACCAAATTGGTTGTAAATCTTGTTATGAGTTCCAATGTTAAGATCCACTCACTGTGTTAAGATATATGATGTCATCGAATTTACAGAGAATAGTACTAGGTTATAGAAAAGAAAGTAATGTATACTAACAATAACGTATATACTTGCATTTTGACAATCACATATTCTTGTCCTTGCAAACTCTTTTATTCATTTTCCACGAAAGTGAAATAATTTATCTTGCCAAAAACTAGCTTTCTTTTGGTTCTCTACACTGACTCAAGAAGAAATTAATGATTACATCTGCACAATTCTAGCTTTACATATTCAGCTTTGCAGAATTATTTAGTAACTTGCAGGATATCAAATCATATATTCATTCAAACAAGAGCGTTACAGAGAATACATTACCTACTATTTTATCCCTAACCACTTACCATCACTGATCTCACACTCTCTATATCAAAAAATACTTGAAGAACTAGAAGTACATCAAATTGTATTGGATTGTGATGCCACAAAGTTTTCTCACACCAAAGCAGCAACTACAACTCTCTTAACTTATCTACATTTTTTTTAGCTCTATGTCATGACTTATACTCCATAAGGCTATCACGAGTGTCGTGCGAATATATATCGCCATACATTTTACATCGCTAACATGCTACTCACATACACACACATACGACACAAGAGCGTAATCACTCAAATGTACCACAATTGACGCGATGATCTTCTATATCAGACAAACTGACTTGACAACATCACACCGACAAATTCGATGTATGTAAACTGAATTCTTCGAGTGAAAATATGTGTTTTTCACCAATGGCACTAAAACTGTCACATACATAAGTCGAGCCCAACTCACTCCGAACAGACTTCAGGTCGACGCTTACGAGCAGTCGCTGTACTTCCAACGCTAACAGGCTCGACTCAAAGAAATGACGTTCTTCGAGTCGGCAACGACCCTTTATACTCAGATTTGAAACCCTAGTTTGACGTTTATTCTTAGTAAATACAAAAATACATGATACCAGTGTGAAGACACTTTATAATCCATCTATCCACAAAAAATTAAGGGATTGCATATTTTTTCCTATTATTCTTTCATGACTTTCAACTTGACCATATTAGAGACAAAATTTAGTTAACTTGTTGTAAATTACTACTCGCGTAGTTGCATCACTAGAGGTAGATGTGAGCATGCTCACCTCAAAGTTTAGTAAGTTCCATTTGATGTAGATTTTTTCTAATTGCCTTGCAAATCTTTTCTCATTTTGTGCATGTATTCTGAATATTTTCTCATTCTTAGAATCATGTTTTCGGCTTCATGGCTTATTTTGAACTCTCACTCTAAAAACTGAGCTTCTTTTCCATGAACGAGTTTTACGGTCTACTACTGTATCATTTACCTTTCAGATCTGAAAAAAAGCTTTATTTTACTTTCTTGTTGCATCCGAAGTTGATCTTCATATCCAACAACAACATCATTTAATAATCTTATCCATTTTTTCTTGACATCTGAAAAAATCTAATTGTTGATAAGCCAAAGCTGAAAATTTTATCTTATATAAATATTACTCAAACGATTACTTATATTCAAACTCATAATTTAAGTTACAATATTATATTTCTAATATTTAAAATTACATCTTGTGAAGTTATGTTTCAAAACTTGTAAATGAGATATTGCGTGTTCACACATCATATACCATTAATAATTTACATCCATTAATTTAATGTGAATTTAATTTTGGGGAAAAAATCATATTTACTTCAGACTGATTTTTAAACGATGTTAAATTTTAAGATTTCGCATTAATGATAATAGGTGTTGTTAATGTATCTACTATAGTGAACATAAAGCGAATGAATGCATAGAGTTCAATGATATATGATAATTAATCTAAATGTGATGAGATATCAGAATCAGTTTTAGTATTACAAAATTATACCGCGTGTTGTAATATGAGGATAAAACTCACCATTCATATTCACATAACTGCTAAAACGGGAAAAGATCTAAGTCTGCTGGTTTGGATATATATTTATGTATCATTGAAGTATACTTTCTAAAGATGTAATTTTATTAAGCATAATTCTCTATATGCTCAGAGCTTAAATTTTAACATAAAATAATATATACTTCATTTCAATATGATATTTAAAAATTCTACTTCAATACTTATCACACTGTCAACATTTCATTTGACAGTGTGATAAGTATTGAAGTCATTTTATGTAAAAACTTAGAAATTTAGTGTCATGATAAAGTTGGATTGAAATATAACGTGAACATTGTTGGACTAGAGTGGGCACAGATGGGAACCGCTGGAACAAAGAAAAGCCAGGTGGATGTGAGTAATTGGTGGATCGCTGTGGGCCTGGGTCGATGAGAGGATGGGGATGGATGCCGGTCAGAGATCGCCAATGGGGTCCTCTCATTCGCCCTCTCACAGATTTTGCTCCCCGCTCTTCGCCCGTCACTTTATCCTCTCCGACTTTGGCTGTGCACCAAATCGTTGATGCGTTATATTCGTCGCCTGCCTCACTACTCTCAATTCTGTCTCGAAGGTCTAGAGATTTCCATTGCTGTCAGTCGAGTGTTGTGCAGTCGGTCTTCCATCAGCAGCCATGGCCGCCACAGCACTCACCAAGCAGGTCGTGAGCCGATCCACATTCTTGGGTGCTACCGCTGCACCCAAGGATGCTCTCAGGGAGCAATTGCCAGTATGCAGGGCTAAGGTCTCAATGGTAAGGCTTCAATGAAATCCCTATCAGTCATCATACGAATTTCAGTGATTTGCCTTTCCTCGAGATATCGGTGTCTCAGTCCGTGTCTTCTACAGCAATGCGGAACTCCTAATGCATCTCAGTTGTCATCTGTTCTCGAAGTCTTCCTCATATCATCGTCCTTCTCATATCTGGGTGCGCAGGACGCCGACTACTGGTATGGCCCGGACAGACCCAAGTACTTGGGCCCGTTCTCAGCTCAGACCCCCTCTTACCTGAAGGGAGAGTTCCCCGGTGACTACGGATGGGATACCGCTGGGTTGTCTGCCGACCCCGAATCGTTCGCCAAGAACCGCGCTTTGGAGGTGAGCGCCCATTTCTCGCTCTAGGTTAAGTAGGTCGTATGTGCAATAGTCGAATTACCGAAAGAATCGCTCACGAGCCATCTCCACAGTATTTACAGGCGTAAGTTGTATTTCTATTGACATGGGATAAGAGCTGTTTCACTGTGAACTTGAATGGTGCTTGAATTTTGCGTGGTGTTGGTATTCAGCTGATCCACGGAAGGTGGGCAATGCTCGGAGCTTTGGGATGCATCTTGCCCGAGGCTTTGGTGAAGTACAGCCGAGTGACGCTGAAGGAGGCAGTGTGGTTCAAGGCCGGGTCCCAGATCTTCACCGACGGTGGTCTCGACTACCTCGGCAACCCCAACCTTGTGCACGCGCAGAGCATTTTGGCCATCTGGGCCGTGCAGGTCGTGCTCATGGGAGCCGTTGAGGGATACCGCCAGAACGGTCTCCCCGGAATCGGAGAGGGAGGCGAGCTTTACCCCGGAGGCAAGTACTTCGACCCACTGGGTCTTGCTGAGGACCCCGAGACCTTCGCCGAGCTGAAGGTGAAGGAGATCAAGAACGGCCGGTTGGCCATGTTCTCCATGTTCGGATTCTTCGTCCAGGCCATCGTCACCGGCAAGGGCCCCCTGGAGAACCTGTTGGACCACCTCGACAACCCGGTCGCCAACAACGCCTGGGCTTACGCCACCAACTTCGTCCCCGGAGCTTAAGTGTGTAGGAGAGGAGTAATCTGTCGAATGAACTCAGTCTGATCTGAACCCCTGTAACATACCGACCGAACTTGTTGGACTTGTACAATTTTTGGACAATCACTTGATATCTTGTGATTCTCTCGGCCTTAGGCCACTCAGTAAAGAGAAACTTGAAACCCATTGGCTTTGTACAGCAGATGTCGAATGTTTGTATTATTGCTTCTCCATGCGGAGGATGAACTTGCAATGGACGGTATCCTTAATGTGCCGCGTATCGGTAACGGAGGTCTCGCGATTTGAAAGCAAGTAAAGTGAATGCTCACAGAAAAAAGAGTAGGCAAAGCGAAAAATATTAGCAATTTTTCCGATTAACTATTGGAAGAAAAAAATGATAGTTAAGAATGTTTAATTACCATTTGATATTACAGTCACGAAGTAATAACTGATAGACATAAAATCTGCAATTTAGTTTATGTTGGCAACGATAAAACTCCAAAACATAAACATTGGTAAAAATAAACATATATAAAAGCAAAGTAAATTGAATAAAACGCAGAAGAGAAAAAATCGCGAAAGAAGAAAAACATTAACTCCAAAATTTAGCAAGATAATATCAAAAAACAAGATAGAAAAGGAAGAAAGGAAAAAGCACATAACACTTGTCAACTTGAAAACTAAAAACGAAGCAAGTAAAATATAACGGCGAATAGTTCTCTTCCTTGCCACGAAGACAGTGAACATACAAGTTAACTCTAAAATCAAAAGAAAAATGAGTGTAAAATACCGATTCGAACCAACCTCATGAAGACAATAGAACTTTAATCTCAATCCCAGTTTTTTTCTCTACCTTACTTATTCAATATCTTCCGCTACACAGTTTCACTATAATGAAACTTAAAATGGTTGTATCTGGATACAGCTGGTTAGAATGGCAACTTGTTGGTAGATGCGAGAATGTATCCAAGATATGTTCGCAGGAACGAGAATTTTGTGCAGATGCTGCCAATTTGAAATTAATAACAAATGAATGTCCACGCGCGGTGAGTTTTGATGATTGAGCGGGGAGCAGAGGGCAATCCGAAACGTTAAGGACATCTCCGTGACGAAATCTCGCGATCAAATTCCGTGAAGCTTAATAGACCATTCCACCATGTCTCAGTTCACTCTCGATCTGACGATTGACATGAACTTTCAAACCGCGATTGAGCAATTGGACGGTGAAAGATTATGTGCGGATGAAGTGGTGATGGACATGTGACAACAGCCGAGGACAAGCCTCGAGAGAAAAGTGTAAAGATATGGTACGACATCAAATGCTTTCGTTTGTACTCAATTCTGACTTCATTCAGCATTTTCCGCATCCACCGGAGTACCAAAACTCGATTAAGAAAACTTCACAGAAGAAGAATTCAGAATCCAAGATCATGATTTCCACTGTGTCATAAAATTTCGGGAAGGATTCCCTCTGATTGTCGGCTGTACTCTGACAGTGCCTTCAGCGCACACTAAACTCGCACAATTGCACAATTATACTATACAGATCGAACTTAAGATCGAACCTTTGGTAACAATTTGTCAGTACCTCTCGTGATGCATTCCACCACTGGGATTTCTCAACAATGCTCCAGACGCTTGCTGGCCCAACCCAACAGGCATCCAGAGCTTTGTGGTCGGATCCTGCACCCACTGGAGCCTACTCATATTCGGATTCTCCACAAACACCATGGAAAAATCGCCTATCTTCTCCATAGATCCTTTCTTCCCCGCTCGGAGGACCATGTTATTCTTGTGATAGGAGAAGAGCCCATTGGTGAGCCGGATGATGTCGCTCGGATTGAAGGCATCGCACTCATTGCCCCACAACTGCAGATGCACGGCAGCGGTGGCATCGGCCACGAGAGCAACGCAGACCATGGGGCCGCCCTCATTGAGCCGCGACGACTGCCCCTTCTCGAGAATTATGAACTGCGTATTGACGGTGCTGTTCACCGAAGGGCGCAATTCGAGCAGCTTGACGACTGGTGGCGGCGAGCCTCCCTGCTGCTGCTGCTGAACTGGGCCCGCCGGCTGCTGCTGCTGCATCGTTGCTCCGCCCACGCCACTCGACACAGACGCAGACACTCGAGCCCCGCCTCGAGAATGAGATCCGCGCACGTTCTTGGACCGCGGCCGTCTCGGGAGCGGACCAGCGGCAACGGCAGCCGATCGAACGTCTTCCAGAGCTCGAACGTCTCCTCCGCTCTAGCAGCGCACCGTGTCTTGCTCGGGCGGGATGTCAGCATTCGAACCATCCGCCACCGATCTGCCCCTCGTCGAGCTCGAACACGGACCGGCCTGACAGCGCATGCTCCGAACCCTCGTCTCGGCGGCCCCCGCAGTCCCTGCCCGGCTTTCGATCTCCGCGACGATCGTGATATTCCCCGATTTAGGCAGCGTCGAGTGTTCATTCAATTTCCGCCTTTGCTAGACTGATGTGTACGGGAACCACGGGTTTGGGTTTGGGTATGGCGCACGAGGCATGGAGGAAGACAGAAAGGCACTTCGAGTTTCCTTGTGGCCTGTGAGAAAATCTGGGTGTGGAAATCGAATCGTGAACGTGCCTTCCGATTTTGGTTTGCTAATGTGACGATTGAAGTTGCGTGCACTCCAATTGCTCGGGGACATGTGTGGAGAAGAGGAGCGCCGATTTTGCTGGTTTCGAGCCACGATGGTGGTGCACGGACTTCGCGCTTTCAGCGAGGATTGCAAGTTAAAACATCGCAGCTGAACATCTAGAAGCTGCGTGATATGGGATTCTCAAACTGGACGTGAGGGATTTGAGTTCTCCACTTGATCCAGTTTCTCTCGAGAAGCAGGTGACCATTTCGCTGATCGGGTAGGTTTCCATAACGCCCAGCGGTTTGTTTCAGCACGACGGGCACAAGCTTGGCTTGAGGGTTCCAGAAGCCAACACATGATCGAGGTACACAGCGCCCGTGTTTAGTTCTGCAGTAACTCGTAAGTTTGAAGGTCCGACTGAGACATAATCAATTTGTGCTCAGATTCGGCGACACCCATGCCAAACATCCAAATCGGCTCGTCTGTTTCAACCTTCTTCACTTCTCTTTGCGTTGTCAACCAAACTAACAGCAAATTCATCGACGACTTGTGACGTGCGACAGATGACCTTGGATTTGCCTTGCCACCCACCTTTTCCAACATTTCTTTGCATCGAAGTCATTGATAAGCCAGCCATTGATAAGCTTCGACTCTTAGCCAGCAGGCTAACAGTCGAAGCCGGACAACCATCTGCACAGCACACATTAGTGATGAATGTAGGCTTGGAGATATCGACACCTCTATCAGCGGACCTTAGAGTACACAGTTGAATCTCCTCCCACCATGAAATCTTTCCCCACGCATTGTAGTATTTCCATGTGGGCTGAACATGAGGTGTAGTAAACGTGGTTGATCCATAGGCGAACTCAACGTCGAACGCAGGAAGCTTTTAATTTATTTTTCATTGTACATGAATGTACATATAGACACTCAGACGACAGGAAAACGGAGAAACTTCAAGACTTGTGAGAGAGTTTGGCAAGAGTGAGCGCCAAAACCTGCACTCCTCTCACTATATCCTCCATGGATGAATATTCATCCGGTCGATGACTGTAACCTGTGTCACAAGAACAGGTGTCCGTAACTTACGACGTATCTCATAACACTTGCCATACGAAGCTTCTATTCCAGTAAAATCCAGTAAAAACGAAAACAAAGTCGAAGCCAGCTGAAACAAGAATGAACGAAACATGAACGAACGAAAATACTGATCCTTGATAATTCAGATTTTTGGCCGTGTTGAGATATAGAATGTACCCACCTTTGTGGCAAGGAATAAATATCATACCCGTCGGCGTTATCCTGCACAAGCACACTTCGATCATCAAATTCTTTGAGTAGATGCATCCGAGGCACTATAACAGACAAGGATTTGATGGAATGTTGTGGAATTCAGAGTTGTGAAGAAAAAAGTCAGACCTCGACATGAACAATGAGTCATGGTATGCTCGGCTGATCATGTGCTTGGATTTGAACCCTAATTCGGCACTTGCGGAAGTGGCAGCCTCGACTATGGTGGCACCACTTTGAGCAGGAGGATCTTGATTCACGACGTCGAAGCTTTGGAGTTCGACGTTTCTCCTGTTAGAGATGTCCTTGGCAGATTGATGTATTTTCTCCACCACCATGTCTCTCCTATCCTCATCGATGTCGCGAACATCTGATCAACAATCACTGCTTATGAGTCCTAGTTGAAAAGAAATAGCTGCACGCTTTATACAGTACATGGTAAAGTTCTGGTCAGGTCGAATGTATACGGTCACAATCCAGTTCAATCAAGGGCGACAACATGGAAAACATGGAATCCAGGGCGACGACAATCATCGATCATTGGAGTGAAAGTAAGATGTAAAAGTCTTGTTCTTATAAAAGCACGAGATTTTGTTCCTCAGCAGGCAGCACAATAACAACCTATCTCAAGGTGCGCCTCTCGTGGTATGCTGTTCACAGCTCCGGGATGAATCTGCATTACTCCTGAACATCAAGGAACCAATTTCTGATCAGATGATGGAACTGAGAGGCCTGTTAGCCCCATTGGTTTGATTAAGGAAACACGACTGGGTACTAGAATATCAAAGCAAGCACACCTGTGGTACCAACAGTTTCGATTGATCCTGATGCTAGTACATGTTGCTCGACAGCCACCGCAAGCTCAGCAGCTGCTAGACCCGCATCATTCCTACAAAATCATGATGGAACAAAACTGTTCAAATCGATGTACAGGTGAAAAGAAGTTGAGACGATCATGGTGGGAAAAAATGGATCACGTCTTCCGTATGAACGAAGATGGAGCGCTGGCAACGTCATAAGATTGAATAGGGTGGCACCTGAAAGGCATCAAGACCGCTCCTGCATGACCTCCATCGCCCTTGAAGTCCACCTTTAGACTTGCTGGGGCTGCAATGGCTGTGATTATACCGATTGCGATGCCTGTAGAATGGCAGAGAATGACGTAGAACGTGTCAGCTGAGAATGTTTTGAAGACGGCTGGACCGCCAATTGAAGACTCGTTAGTCCTCGCGAGGTGCAAATCCAAGTGAGCCAGTGGTGGTGCCTTCCTTCCTTCCTTGCATTTTACCAACACTCATTTTCACGACGTCACCGAACACTTTCGAGAAGTCAACAGTGGGAGATTAAGCCACTCCTCGGACCAAAACAAAAGGCAAATGGCTGTCACCCTTGCCTTCATTCTCCAGGGTCGGCCCTTGCTCTATGTGCAATTCGACAAAGCCAGAGTATGTTTCATTCGTCACTGCCACACTTTTCAAGTCCTCCCCTTCCTTTAGATATCCAGCAGTTCTTGCTGCTTCAGTAAAACTTATGTTGTCTTTATCCATGGCTCCCTCCAGAATCTCATATATATTCCTGCTTCCTGCCATAGCTCGACTGCATTTTCACGAAATATATTACACAAATTACAATTGTACGAAATATATTAGCTGAATTGAGTCCTCATTTTTGGGCACAGCTTGGAACCAGCTGAAAGATGGTGCTGACATGTAAGAAAAGGAAACGTCACTACAGTTAATATGTGTTCATAAGCTCCAGACTAACAACTCAGAAATATGTCGGAAGAGAGAGTGATATACATAGCAGATATGCACGCACTCTAGCTCTTTCCATGTATTCTTTTCTCCCAACACTCCTGTAACATTTCAATCTCATAGTAAGACTTAAGCATCACATTACCTCCCGAGGCAACCAAAGCCAAAGCGGGTAGGTTCCTCTGACGTAAACATGATAACTTCCAGTGATCTCCGTGGAGTAAAGCCAACTCTGCCACACTTGCCATGCGCCAATAGCACTATCGTCAGACAATATCTAATGGCTCTAGCAACTATCGACGATCAATACGAGCATGAAGTTCCAACTCTTGCTGTCGACCGAACCTCCATCGAATGGAAAACTAGTTTTGTTGGTGAACAGTTTACACGTACTTCCTTAAAGCTCGGATGGCCTCAATAGCCCCCAACACACCAACTACGCCGTCGTATTTGCCAGCATATGGTATTGCATCAACATGAGATCCAGTTCCAACGACACTAGTCTCCTCAGTTCCCTGCCTGTCACAAGCGTGGAAATTGATGAGGTGATCTCCTCATGAACAGTTGATCATTGACCTCTAAAGTTTAATTGTATCGACCTTATGACAAATCTTCGACCTACAAGAGAGGAATCCATATTGCATCTGACTGTTTTGTTATGTACAGAGCTGGCTCCTTCTGTTATTCTCCAAACAGGTAGGCTTTGGACTTTGTGAACATTCACCGCAGAAAAATGTTTGTTATTGTAGAATTTGGTAGAACGGCCTTTCCTCCAAAAAAGGCTTCAATACAAAAGGCTCCAATTTCCACATTTCGATGGGTAATAACACTCCCCTCTTTCTTCTTCTTCTTCTTCTTCTTTAAGGCAAATTCCATATCTGTACATCTTACTGGATAACACTTCAACGGGCAGGGTACAAAACAAAAGCTCCAGAGAAGGCAACTTTACCACCGGCCAAAGATATTGCCAATTGCATCTTCTCTGACCGTGAGGCCCGCTGATTTCATGGAATCCTTGATGTACCTGAGAACCAAAAGTCATGAGTATGAGTAGCGAATAAACAGCACTTGCCGGTGTGTGCGAGCTGTGAGCATGGGCATGGGTATCTGCAGGCAGTGAGCATATACATTCACAGATGCAAATGTGACTTCAAATTCTGCGCACATACATTCAAACCACTGTCTCGGCGAGAGCAACAACGATTAATCTGGCAATTCCGCCATAAGGGCACCAAATAGCAGGACATCCAAACCTCGCTCCTACGAAAAGGCTAACAGAACAGAAAGTGCAGTACACAAGCAACAGGATGAGCGATACCCAAGAAGCCGTCAATGAAATGAGTAAAGGTTGGGCATTGATTACGTTCTAGCTGAGATGTCATTCTCCGTGTACAGTATGCGAGTTACAGATGGAGCCGGAGTGTCCGAGAAAGTCGCCAACTCGTCAATCTGCACAGTGTTGACACAGTGTCACGAAAAGATCAGTTATCTACAATCCTCTCCACCTACCAGTGCACGCAAGGATGCGAAATTCGAAGCTGCAGTGGAAGTTCAACAGCCAATTGCACCCCCTGAGATATCCCTTCTAACAGGCCCTCATCCAGAGGCAGAAAACAGAACGACTCGTAGAACTGTGAAGCTCCTGATCAGACTGCAGTCGATGCTGTCCCCGTCTTCTTCTCGCTGTCAAATTCTCAGTACCCAAACTTCGACTCGCTCACCTGCGTGCGAAGACCATCTGCGTCTACGGCACCAGCCAATTGAGCAAATTCACAGGATGCTCCCGAACTGGTCTCCAGATGATTCGAGGGATAAGCCTCAAGGGTACCAGCAGTAGCTCCAAGCAATTGCAAAACAGCGACCAGAACGAAAGCATTCAACGCCCACATGATCGCTCAGCTGCTCACAACCCACATACGCTGCAGCTGATGATACCGAGACTCTTCAATTCACTACAAGCGCTCTCGATATGCAAATTATTCCTGCTCACGTCGATGCTCGTGCACCACCTGTCAGCAGCAGACCTGTAGACGAGCGAACCAATTGGTGATATTTACGTCCTTTGTACCATCGGCCTGCACGTACTTTTTATGGCCCGACTCCAGAGGCACTTTGGGAGTGGCACAAGTTGTCTTCATTAGCAAAGGAAGTTGTAGCCTTCTTAGAGTAACCCTAAACTGGAGACTCTGGACACCGCAGGTGCAGGACGGACATAAGCTCATGATCTAGCCTGCTGAACCTCTTGACAGGTATATGCAGGAATGAAGGTAGAGTGGATTCAGGAGACATTGCCAGACGTAATTCTTGCTTATCTTGAGACGATCAGCTTCTGGAAAGCTGCATTGCGCTAGTTTTGAAATTCGAGCTTGAGCTGTTTTTCAATGGCTCCTAGACATCGTGGGATGAACAGACGAGGGGCCGACCTCGTGAATTGAATGGAATCCAGAGTCAAGAACCGAGTTCTGATATTTGATAATTGATACTGTTCAATCACTGTCCGCCCTCCGCCTTCCGCCAGACGGATCATCAAAAGGTGGTTCATGTAGAGACTCGTACTTGTCAGAAAGCTGGGCAGCAGAGTGGAGTGAGGTGTGCAATTTCGATGACACACCTCGTGCCTGCTTCCTCGATTATACCGGATGTGGAGGACAACACCGAGCGGCCTCACATGGAGGGCGAGTCTGAGAAAGAGTCGAGCGTTGTCAGCCCCAGAGGTCGTCCCTTTTTTGTTGCCGTGCATGTGGGAGCCGGATACCACTCTCCTTTGAACTCTAAGGCTTACTGCAGAGCAATGCGGCGTGCTTGTATGGCCGCAGCCTCAGTTTTATCAAAGGCAAGTGAGAACTGAGATTTTGGATTTGGATTACGAGCTGCAGCAGGTTGCAGAAAGGAATCCATATCCTCCTTTCCCCCTCAGATTTTTTTTGCACTCAGGAAGGCGGAATGCCACCATGGACTCTAGACGGGTGAATCTCAATTACAGGGAAATCCAAGAGTGCTGGCGGTTGACTAGTTTACTTGTTCAACTTGATCGTAGGCTGGAGAATTAGACCAGCGTTTGAACATGTGAACTAAAAGGACTGATAAAACCGAAGAAGACCGATAAAACTGAAAGTTCTTCTAAAATTCTTGTCAATATCAGGGTGGAGGACGGACCATGGACGCGGTTGTGTCTGCTATCAAAGTTCTTGAGGTGGGATATGAGTGAAATTTACTTCTCCCAAAATCACCTTCTGTTGTTTGCTCTTCTTTGTGACTTCCTTTTTGCAGAGAGAAGGTGATGTTTGTTCTCTACTTCCTATCTGTAGATGGTTCAAACTGATGAACCAGGTACTACATTTGCTCCTGCTATTGAATCCTGCTCTTCGTATCCAGGATGATGAGATCACGAATGCAGGTAAAGGATCAAACCTGACAGAAGAAGGGAGCGTGGAGTGTGATGCCAGCGTAATGGATGGACTTACAGGAGCATTTGGAGCTGTTGGAGCTGCACCTGGTGAGCATCATAGATCAATCCATTCATGCGTACTCAGAAATCTTCTGTATTTCGGTTGGATTCCCGATATTATTCACATGTATGTAAGCACGCAGTTGCACGGTATCAGTGGATGAGAAAGTCGAAAGCGTTCATTTATATTGTTTTTTTCTGTTCTTTGTATGTCTGTGAGTAGTATTGATTGGGTTTTAGACAGACAAGCTCTATATATCTTCACTTTTAAGTAGAATTATATCTCACTACAAGAGAAACTCTTTTCAATCTCAAGTAGTCCTCTCTCGTTTTCCCTCTACATCTACCCGTTCCGTCTACTTTATTCTGGAAGAGCCCAGCCATAGTGTGGAACCTGTGGTCTGACAGGCACATACTATGAGTACAATTTTAAGCAGTACGCAGTTGAAGTAGCTTATCCCACTCTGCAGGATTCTGTGAGTGTCGCAGACGCTCTTTTAGTCCTTAAGCATTCTGTACAAATCGGATCTTTAAGAGGATATTGCGAATGTATAGTACCCATCAAGTACGTGAATCATATTGACAGGTCAGGCTTTTACTTATTGACAGGTATAAAGAATCCCGTCGAAGTTGCGGCGATGCTTGCAAAACAGAGTCTAGCGGGGCCTCTACCATTGGGCCGGATACCTCCAATGTGGGTACATCACTGCCTTATTGAGGTCCATTCAGAAGAAGACGTCTTATTGATTCTCATTTTCGGCTCATTATATTCCATTCTGTCATAGAACCACTTCTGAAAATGTAGTGCCAGTGACGAAAGAAAAATAAATTGAAATGACATAAATTCACTTTCTTCTTCCGATTACAGATTTTTAGTAGGACATGGAGCACGAGAGTGGGCTATAAAGCATGGCATTGAAGCTGCTAAGGATGCTGGCGAAGCTAGAAAGGTTAGTGTATCATTCTATCGTTTTTTTTACACACACACGATAATTATCATGAGTGCTCATTCATTCTCAGATGCGTTGGATGAAGTTCATAGTCCACGAAACCTTTACGATCTGAATGTATGAATGAAACTTAAAAGGTTCCAGCTACCTGTCGGGTGCTATGTAAAAAAGTTTGAAGTCAGCGGTTCATATTTCTGGCCATTTTTGTTAACACATCTAACGACTTCAGCTATCATTTCCGCTTCTTTCTGAAGGGTATGAAGATATTTGCTTCTGCCAAAAGCCAGTTACTAATTGGTGTCTGGCTATCGAGCTCTAGTTGGATCGAAATCTCCCTGCCGAAACTAATGTGCATTTCATCTCATTTGCTGCAGTACCTAGTAAGCAAGCGGGCTAAAGAACAGTGGATACATTATACCAAAATGATTGATACATACAACACGCAAGATGTTCAGAGAAAGCAAGCAAACACGTTGGAAATAAGGAGTTGCGCGAAGACAACTGGTAATTCTCTCATTCCAACTTTTGCAAGTCTTATCAACGACTGAGTACTAGTAACACGTTTGAGAAGTGTGTTCCAATCTATCGGTAAATGCGGATCGTGTGCATGCAAGTCCAAGCGAAGTTATCCTTCGGGACTTGGAGGCTTAGTTGTCACATAACATGTTGTATGACGGCCAAACATTGATGGATTATCAGAGTGCATATACATGTGATCGTTTGTGTCTGGAGGTGATTATCTAGACATGGAAACGTATAACTCTCGCCTCCTTTCAGAGTCGCACTTTGCGGCTTACTTCATTCGAACTTTACATGTGCTCTTCATCTGTCACCTTCTAACAATTATACTGTCTAAATGAATCCGAAGAGAAGAAAACGGCGTTTTATTTCTGATCGGCACAAGTCTCTCATATTCTTATTATTTTAGCGATTCTGCAGGAGACGAGTGCAGTAAAGATAGATGGTGAGAAAACTTTTGCTAAACCTGCACACGTGGAGGATTTAGTACTTGATACAGTCGGAGCCATTTCGGTCGACAGTGAGGGGAATATCTCTGCCGGAGCTTCAAGCGGAGGCATAGCCATGAAAGTGAGTCAAGCTTCAGCCCGGGATTAACTAAGATGTACATTTTTGTTCTGCAATATAAGTACCAGGATGTATCCTCTGAACAGAAAATTCAGCTCTTGCGATCCCGTCTGTGGAGATTCTGCCAATATATGAATAAACTTCTTTGAGGCTTTCGTGATCCTGTACGAGGATATTCGGACGATTGTGAAGATAGCCGACAAGCGGACAAGTTTCTCGGGTTATCATTAAGGTCCGGTTCCTCTACATATCCATCGTCCGAAGGTCTTCAGTTTTTTAATGATCGCTTGCTGCAGGTTAAAGGGCGTGTTGGAGTGGCTGCACAGTACGGATGTGGATGTTGGGCAAGTTCTAAGCCACATTCAGAAGGAACATCAGTCGGTTGCTGTGTTTCTGGCGCAGGCGAGGTTATCATTCGTGGCTTGGCGGCGTGCGAGTGCTGCAGTTCAGCACAAAAGTAAGCATTGATGCTCATGTTCTCTTTAGTTGCAACGATGACCCTTACCATCCAGCCACTTTCTTACACGAATTTGTGACTGAGCAGATCAATCACGTCGTCTAGCTCCATGAGCGGCCCTCTTCTGCACGAGCTAAGACTGCTAAGATGTTTGTTGCTCAGATCCGAAACTGGTCCAGGTCCAGCCTGTCAAACTTTTTTATCCAGAATGATGGAGAGTCAAGGAGCCTTTGGTGGCACCAATGATGCCGGGATTTTGCTTGTACAACTCGACGCATCAGAAGGAAATGTAAGTCTTTCTTGACTTAGGACCTTTTTTGTTCAGAAAAAGATATGCATCAATGGAATAAAATACAGAAAGGTCTGCCTCATTGAAGAGACAGATTAACATCCAAATAACTTATCTCTAGCTTTATGTTTCTGCAGAGGGCCACAACTCGTCCAAAATTAGGTGCAGTGGAGCTTGTAGCAGCTTTTACTTCAAGATCATTCGGAGTTGGCTATTATGGAAGTCTAATGAAGGCACCCAAGGTTTGTCGCTTACCATAAGTAGTTCTCCCATCTCGCTGGAAACTTCTCTAAAGTTACTGACGGCTCGAGTTCGTGTTGCAGACCGAAATATTCAGGAAACCTCAAAGTGATAAAGTAGGGTTATTCGCAACGCATGTGAACAACAGCAGCAGGAGCAACGACTGTTAGCAACTTTCTGTTCCATCAGGCAGAGCACAGATAGATGTTCATGTAGCGAAGAGTTGTCTAGCGCTCAGTTTAGACCTTAATTGTCAGCTTTTCACGACGACGATTCGAAATGGGCATGGTGAGCGAAGGAAACTCAATCTCTGCAGTAAATTGCTGCACTTTTTTCCTACAACGATCAAGACTAGCAATGGAGCAAATCCATAAAGCCCAACAGTAGCATTTTTGTCTTCACCAGCAGGAAGTTTATTCTGCATGTTCCATCTTTATCTTTCTCCAATATCTCATCGGATGTGAAGGCCCCGTTTTGATCAAACACATGTTTTCCTCGTGCATTTACTTGTGGAGAACTACGCTACAGCCCACCCACTTTATGGATCAATATTCGTCGATGTAGAGCTTCACGGGTCTAAAACAGGTCCTCAATCAATACAACAGAGGTTGCTGATGAATAAAGTCCGGCGCGATCTTCCATGTCAACAGAGCTGTGTTCGTGAGTTTTGTCTTCAGGCAAAGCGTTCAGAAGTCTTCATACTTCGAGAGCAAGTTTCAGACTCTCGTTGTCGTCCTGGGCTCAAAAGCACCAGAAGATATTGTATCATCTGTGGAAGATTCTGTTTCCATCACTATTCAAAGACGAATCAGCATGTGAAATCTCACAGTTGCCAAATGGTAACGGAATATTGACAAATATGTTCTACTATCAGTTTTGAAGGTGAAATGAGTGAATGCCGACTATCCCGTAAACTCCATTTTCCCGAGTTTGCATGTTGAGAAAATGCCCAGAAAATCTATATTTTTACTGTACATAAGTTTCTTCGCTTGAGGTATATAGGAAGAAATGTACTGTCCTATCGTATCTGCTTTATTGTTGTGAGATGAAAACTCGATTGCCTTACTGAGACTTCTTCCGTTCGAAGTATTACCACAACGGGGAGAGCGCAAAGAGCAGTAACGTAATATTTTTTTGCTTACTTCTCCAAGGTCCAAAGGATACTTATTTGTCTTGTAAAACCCAGTCTTTTGTAAAGCCAAATATAATTTTTATTATTATTATTTTTCATTTCGAACTCTTAAATTTTTACGAATTCAAAATCGAATGGGTCAAATCTTTCAAATGTGAGATTATTTTATCCTACCACTACCTAATTGTTTATACACTTTACTAACCCATCTAGGAGATCGATTTTAGATCAATTTCAAAACACATTGATTCTAGATTAGTTCCAATTTTAGAATCTAGAATTAATGTAATTTGGAATAGATTTTGGAAAATTGTACTCTCCCTCCTTTCTACAAGTGTTTCTATAAAGTTTTTGACCTATTACTTTTGTCTTGATTCTATATTTCCAATTTCTCGATGCTTCAACATCTAAGATTAGATTCCAATTCTCATAAATCAAGCTTCCCAACGCTAGATATATCTAAAACAAGTCTAACATAACAAATTGCTTTTCATTCAAAACATCTAAGTCCACAGGGTCACTTACAGGAAATGGTTGGTAGGCTACACCCCGAATACACAACAGTACAACTAGATATCTCCTTGTTTAAACCATAAGACAAGAGAGATATAGTCTTCATAATCTAATCGCTTTTCTAATGTGTTCTCCTCGCTTAGATATAATCGTTCTCACAACACTCTTGAGAAGAACACGCTTGACCACGATGTCTTTTCACGGAGTAGTGCAGTTGATTGCATTTGTGTGCTAGAGGATCACCAGGCCGTGCTCTGTGTGGTTCATTAGACGATCTTCTAGCAACTATACCATCAACCTTAAATCCATCATCACCAACTCACCATTACTGACAAGGGTTAAGCCTAATAATATTCTCCTTAACACGCCGTGGGACAACAAACTCCTTAACTTATATACTTTGCAAAAGAATCTAGAATTAAGAAGCCTAACAAAGTTAACTCTTTATACATGAACTAGTTGGAACTAAGTCGTAATCAAAACATAATAGTGTAAAAATATATATAGGTCTTAAAAAAATTAGTAAACTTTACTTATGTTACTCGTTCGAATTCTACATAGTAGCACAATATTTTTAAAACTCTTTGGTTAAAGCATTGATTGAGTTGAATTTATATTTTAATTTTGATGAATTCAATATTTTTATCAAAAATCACAAGTTTGATATAATGATATTTGATGTCAATGTATTTCACTTTGCTCTCCATCATTTGATTTGCAACAAGATGTAAAGCATTTTAATTATCATAGTGAAGACTGAGAATCATCATGTTTAATTCCATCTCATTGATAAAACTATTCAACCAAATAACTTTTGATGCCGCTACATAGTGAGTTTATATTGTAGACTAAGTTACACACTTCTGCAAGGTAGATACTCAATTAATGTATCTATCATCAAGTGTAAACACATATTTAATAATAAATTTTGTTTATTTCAGATTTTATCCATAGTCAATATTTTCATAGCATAGCAAAAATTTGGCATTGTCTAATAAATTATCAAACAATAAATCATAAACCTCATTACTCTTCAAGTATTTGAGAAGCCAATCTCAAAAAACAATTTTTGAATTTGACATTTATTTGTTCACATTGTTCATTGTTGGAGCAATATTAAGTTTTGTGCACATCATCAAATATATGAAGCTGTTCACAAATTTATCATAAAAAACACATGACATCATTATTTTTTCAATGACATCTATCAAATATTGAACTATAAAAAGTTTGAAATGTGATGCCAAAGAATACTCTTTTAGAATTTGCCATGTAAAATATATAAAGCACATATTGAACATATGTACCTTAACTCAACCATAATTTATTATGCTTCAAATCTCTATGAATATTTATCCCTAATATATTCTTAGACTTATCCAAATAATTCATTTTAAATATAGATTTCAGATTGTACTTGCACTTGTCAACGTTGAGTTGATTCTTTACCAAGATGAACATATAGAATAATAAGATGAAAGATCTTATTATTCGTTTTTTATGTATAAACAAAGATTATACACATTTCGTGAATAATTTTGTGTTTTTATGAACTCATCAAATCTTGCATTACACTACTTAATAACTTGTTAAAATTCATATAAAAATTATAACACATACAATTTTTTATTGAAGCTAACGAGTTGTCTCATGCGAATTTACCCCTATAGAGATCCGTAAAATGACATTGTAATTACGAACATTTGATTTGAAAGTTAGTCAAGTTTGTTTACTTTCTCTTTTGATACGATTATCCAAATATTAGTATGTATAACCGAAATTAAATAGTAGAACTTTATGCTTCCCCTCATTGACAACTTTACCAAGAACACATTGGTAGCTTTAATACGAATGAACTTAATATGTCACAGCAAATTCAACTAGACTTTTTATATAGAAAGAAGAAGTAGCCATCTATCTACCATCATGACTAACTAAATATGAGTATATATCGTATATTAATACACATGAGAATATTCTCAAACTTTAATCATGCTAGCATATTTTATGTGAATTACAACGAATTATCATTACTGGATTTCATGTCGAGGATAGATTGGATGGATCTTCATATTAAGTTTCTATCCATTTGACCCCTTTGCTATAAGGAATAGTCACAACGAGAGCGTTTGTGCCGTGTGTGAACGCAAGCGAAGCCGACGGCTAGAGAAAGAACTCAAGGGAACCCAAGCAATAGAGGGCATTAAGTATAATAAGGACAAAACAAACCCTCGAAACTGCCAAAGAGGGTTACCTGTTTGGCGTGCTCACTCAATTCAAGGATATGGTCAGTGGGTAAGGGTCCAGAACAGGGCATGCGCAATTCCAGTCCAGTGTACTGATAGCCTCCGAGAGAGGCACTTTCTTTCAAGAACCATCTACCTCGATACAAGAACTCATCGACTGCGAAATCCCGTGCATGGTCCTCGACTCCGGCCATGCCCTCTGCCCTCGGATCACTCGAATTTCGTGACCCGAGCGCATCCTCGAAGACTGTCTCGATTCGCTGCAAGGCCGCACTGTCGTTGCCTCGCTCTTGCCGCTGGTGGAATCGTCGAATTTGCCGCTGAATTGGCCCCGATTGATTTGATTTGAGTCGAGTCGAGTCGAGCGAGGCGAGGTGCTATGGCCGCGGCTGCTGCGGCTGCTGCCATCTGCACACCGCGAAGCGCTTTGGGGTCGCTCGACGGACGGGCGGTTGTGGCGCCGGGGGCGAGGAGAGTGGGACCTGTGGCGGTGTTCGCCAGGGTGCTGAAGCCTGTGGAAGAGAGGTTCAAAATCCAGCACGAGAAGAACGTCCCCGCCGAGAGGCTCAAGGAGCTCGGCGTCGAGAGGTGGTCGAAATGGGAGTGCGGTCCCAATGTGACGTACCGGCACGCATGGCAGGTCGACGAGCAGATTTATATCTCCAAAGGCTCCGTCATGGTCACTCCTGAGGATTGTGACGATAGCGCCTACTTTTACCAAGGTGATGTCGTTCGATTTCCCAAATGGTTGGTCGCCGACTTGACTTTCGACGAAGATTACGAGCAATGTTACCGATTCTTGGCGTACGGTGATTAGTGCCCTATGTCAGTGATTCTTGAGCCGTAGAGTTTTGGTTCATGGTTCAATGGACAATTGCAGGGTGTAGGGTTTTAGAGTCGAGAAGGTTTTGCCCTGTACGCAATTGGAACCACGACAGGATTTAGTCTTTTACCACATTATGGCCAAGTTTTTGGCCGTAAGTACAATGTGGCTCATCACTCGGTAGTCTTCTCTAGAGTCCGGTCTTTTCTCGTTTGCCATGCGCAATCGTGGGATCCGTTCCGTTGAAGATTTCTCATCGGAGCGGAAAAGCTTCTGTTCGTTGAGCTATCGGAGGCGAGAACCTTAAAGAAAATTATATCAATGAAATTCACTGTCAGCTTCGTTGGGTAGAATATACGTGGCAAAGTAAGTCAGAAAGCTCAGTGTTTACAATCTCAATTGAGATTTTGTGCCAGTGTCGGGGCATTATATTCACTCGAATTGCACTTGTAAGATGGATCTCCACTGAAAATTTCTTGGCCGTGAAAGTCTCATATTCCAACTTTTATGTGAATAACTCGGGCGGTTGCATTTTATGTAAGTGGTCACTATATCATGGGAGCTCAGATGTACTCGAGACCATATTTCTAGACCCTCCGGTTATGCCCAGGGTCAGTTCGGAGTGGTGAAGTTGCCCCAACAATACTCATGTCGGGTCTGTTGAACAGGCTGCTTATGCTAATCTATCTACATTCCTTTACCGCGACCGACAGGAAAGTCAGCGTTCTTCTTCATACGGTTTTCTGTTTCAATTTCAAGTCTCTTCTAGGAGTTTGATATTACAAAAACTTCTACTGCTGCATTCATCGTATGCCAATTACATAGCTTCATTGATTTGGGAAGTTAATACCAGAGGAGTAGAAATAACAGATCATGACCACACGTGATATCACGTAACTTGCGAAGAGAGGTGGAAAAGGTCTGACAGGACAAATCTCCTGAGTCCATGAGAGGTCTTCAAAACTCTCTGAATGCGAAAGCAATACACCAGCACAATACTGATACTCCGTATGAGACGTCGTAACCTTTAAGTGAAATGAGGGATGGTAGGTCCAAAAGCTACGTGTCTTCAACACATCTGTTTACTGCATAGTGCAAGTCTCTAGGCCATAGAGGCTTGCAAAATGTAGCGTCATTCCACTCGCATTGTAAAGAGAAAGGAACCTTCAGCTGTTGGCGACCGAAACTGTTCGCCCACCGATCCTCCCTCAAAATCTCCTGGCTTCCGTTCGTTAAAGGTAACTTCAGCCCATTGCAAACCGTCTCATTGGGTCCATCGCACCAGAAGTTTCTCCCCTCACCTCCTGATTTAATCTCTCGAATGTTTTATAATCTAGTATTTGAGTGTCTCACTTTTGTTGTTAGATGCAAGCCACGGCCAGACAAAGTCGGCCCGTCCTGACATAGCAACCAAAGCAAGATTGAAACCTGAGAAATGTGTCATGCTAGAGTATATACTACTGTATCATACGTATGAAGCATGTAAACAAGTATCATTGTGATTGCTCGTGTATGTTGCAAACAAACGATCGAAGTGATAACAATTATTAGGAAGGAATAGATTTATTACTCCAAATTGCAATTGCTAATGCAATGCAAGGAAAATCACCAAATTGATTCTCTTGATATTCATATTTGCAATATGTTTGTTTCAACAGGCCACACTCTATGCTATTGCGGTAAAACCTAATCCTACCCTATCGGTTTCATCCATGTACGACATAATGCAATTTTTTCATTCTTTTCTTATCGTACTTGTGTTTTACTAGCACTAACCAGTTTTTGCACGAGTACATTTTGTATCAGAAGTTTTTCAAGTTGTAATCCAATCAATCAGATGGTTTTAATTATGAAACATTCTAACATCAAGATTCAACTATTCATACATCATTCACTCTATGCATCAATAATAAATAGATTGTGTATGTTTTCACCAGCATTGATGCGGAAAAAAAACGGTTTCTCATTTCACTAAAAAGTTAAATCTTTAATGGTGTTTATGATGGATTTTGTTTAAATCATGAAGATAATGACGTTTTTTTTTTGAAATTCTCTAAAATGTCAAGTAATCGATAAAAAAATAAATTACTCTGATCATCATAATTTAAAGAAACAAAACATATTCATCACAATAGTATGCAATAAATTCATAACATTTTTTAAAGTAAATGACGCCATCAAAATAAATTAAAACGAATGCAAGGTTCTTATACTGCAATCTGTTTATTTGCAGTATAACTTCTTTTACGAATCTGAAAAGTAATTTCAATGATTGTTAATGAAATACATTTTTCATTCATGTAAGTGAAGTTTCTCCGATCTAATATTTTAGGAATACGATTTCAAAAAAAATATTATTTTATATTTTATATTTTATAGTCATTGCTGTTGAGTTACCACCAAATTTTGAATTTCGAGCTTTGAGTTTCAAGATTTAAAAGCAAGAGATTCTTACGGGAGCTGAAATCTAGAGCTAGAAATTTGATGATCTAGAGCTGAAATTTGATGGAACGCTAGAGTAGGGCAGCGCGCACGAGCCTGCAAAATCTTAGGCCGAATGTTATTCAAAGCAAGAAGTTGACGTGTCTTGGAGGTCAGAGCTTTTTGAGAGGGGAGGGCCGAATCTTGCAAGGGCCGTAACTTCCGGCTCGAGTGTGAACGTGGGCTGAAATTTTGTGGCGTTGTGACGCTGAGTAGAGCACTCAAGCTTTTTAATTTTCAGATGGAATGGAGTTCCAAAGTCAGAGTGCGTCTAGTTTCAAGATTTGAGGGCAAGAGATTCTTACGGGAACTGTATCTTCGAGGTTGGGAGTGATCTAGAGCTGAAATTTAGTGGAACGCTGGAGTAAAGCAGGGCGCACAAGCCTCCAAAATCTTAGGGCGAATGCCATTCGAAGCAAGAAGTTGACGTGTCTTGGAGGTCTGAGCTTTTTGAGAGAGGAGGGCCAAATCTTGCAGGGGCCATAACTTTGGGCTCGAGTGTGAATGGGAGCTGAAATTTTGTGCCATTGTGACGTTAGGTAGAGCGCTCAAGCTTGTCAATTTTCATATCAAACAGAGTTCCAAAGTGAGAGTGCGTCCAATTTTGAGTTTTGAGTTTTGAGCTTTGAGTTTCAAGATTTGAGGGCAAGGGATTCTTACGGGAACTGTATCTTCGAGGTTGGAAGTGATATGGAGCTGAAATTTAGTGGAACGCTGGAATAGGGCAGGGCGCACGAGCCTGCAAAATCTCAGGCCGAATGTCATTCGTAGCGAGAAGTTGACGTGTCTTGGAGATCTGAGCTTTTTGAGAGGGGAGGGCCGAAACTTGCAGGGGCCGAAACTTCAGGCTTGAATTTGGTGGAATGCTGGAGTAGGGCAGGGCGCACGAGCCTGCGAAATCTAAGGCAGAATGTGAGTTTCCAGATTTTGAGTTTCGAGGTTTGAGTTTCAAGATTTGAGAGCAAGAGATTCTTACGGGAGCTGTATCTTCGAGGTTGGAGTGATCTGGAGCTGAAATTTGGTGGAACGCTGGAGTAGGGCAGGGCGCACAAGCCTGCAAAATTTAAGGCCGAACGCCATTCAGAGCAAGAAGAAGACGTGTCTTGGAGGTTTGAGCTTTTTGAGAGGGGAGGGCCGAATCTTGCAGGGGCCGTAACTTCAGGCTCAAGTTTGAACGGGGGCTGAAATTTAATGGCATTGTGACGTTGGGTAGAGCAATCAAGCCTGTCAATTTTCAGATGGAACGGAGTTCCAGAGTTAGAGTGCGTCTAATTTTGAGTTTCGAGCTTTGAGTTTTAAGATTTGAGAGCAAGAGATTCTTACGGGAGCTGTATCTTCGAGTTTGGGAGTGATCTGGAGCTGAAATTTGATGGAACGTTGGAGGAGGGCAGGGCGCACGAGCCTACAAAATCGGAGGCCGAATGCCATTCGAAGCAAGAATTAAACGTGTCTTGGAGTTCTGAGCTTTTTGAGTGAGGAGGGCCAAATCTTGTAGGGGCCGTAACTTCGGACTCGAGTGTGAACGGGAGCTAAAATTTTGTGGCATTGTGAAGTTGGGTAGAGAGTCCAAGTTTGTCAAGTCTCAGATCGAACATAGTTTCAGAGTCAGAGTGCGTCCAAATTTGAGTTTCGAGCTTTGACTTTCAAGATTTGAGAGCAAAAGATTCTTACGGCAACTGTATCTTCGAGGTTGGGAGTGATTTAGAGCTGAAATTTGGTGGAACCCTGGAGTAGGGCAGGGCGCACAAGCTTGCAAAATCTTAGGCCGAATACCATTCGGAGTGAGAAGTTGACGTGTCTTGGAGGTCTGAGCTTTTTGAGAGGGGAGGGCCAAATCTTGCAGGGGCTGTTTCTTCGGGCTTGAGTGTGAACAGGGTCTGAAATTTTGTGGCATTGTGACGTTTGGTAGAGGGCGGAAGCCTGTCAATTTTCAGATCAAACGGAGTTCCAGAGTCAAAGTGTGTTCAATTTTGAGTTTCGAGCTTTGAGTTTCAAGATTTGAGAGCAAGAGATTCTTACTGGAGCTGTATCTTTGAGGTTGGAAGTGAACTGGAGCTGAAATTTGTTGGAACGCTAGAGTAGGGCAGAGCGGACGAGCTTGCAAAATCTCAGGCGGAACGCCATTCAGAGCAACAAGTTGACGTGTCTTGGAGGTCTGAGCTTTTTGTGAGGGGAGGGTCAAATCTTGCAGGTGCCGTAACTTCAGGCTTGAAAGTGAACGAGGGCTGAAATTTTGTGGCATTGTGACGTTGAGTGGAACGCTCAAGCCTTTCAATTTTCAGATCAAACGGAGTTCCAGAGTCAGAGTGCGTCCAATTTTGAGTTTCAAAATTTGAGGGCAAGAGATTCTTACGGAAGCTGTATCTTCGAGGTTGGGAGTGATCTAGAGCTGAAATTTGTTAGAACGTTGGAGTAGGGCAGGGCGCACGAGGCTGCAATATCTCAGGCGGAACGCCATTCGGAGTAAGAAGTTGACGTGTCTTTGAAATCTGAGCTTTTTGAGAGGGAAGGGCTGAATCTTGAAGGGACTGTAACTTCGGGCTGGAGTTTCCTTTGGACTTGAAACTTTGTGGGAGCTTGAAGCTAGGTAGAGAGCGCAAGCTTGCAAAGTTGGAGATCGAACGCAGTTCGGAGGTGGAAGGTGAAACATATTTCAGTCTCAAGTTTTTGAGAGTCATTCACATGATGGCGTCTCAAGACAATTTGATACTCAATCTTCTACAAACGATTTTGGAAGAGTTGAAAGTACTACGTGCATAATTCAAGGTACAGAGCTCTACTTTAATTGCAGCTCAATATGAAATTAGAGAGTTGAAGCTCTCCCTGAAGAGTTTTGAGAATATTATGGTTGATATTTCAGGATACGTAGAGGATATTAAGGAGAAAGTTGGTTCTCAAGCTTCCATTGCTGCTATTCCTAAATTGCATGAAGTGGTTGAAAGTCTAGAGGTGAAGATAAAATCTTTTGCAGAAGCCACCAAGAGCAAGAGATTGAAAAGATTAATCAATTTGCTCGTAGAAAGAATGTGAGAATTTCTGGTCTACCTGAATCTGAGAAGGAAGAGGTGAAGAGTGTTGTCACCAAGTTTTTGGCTGAAACACTTGATGTTCCTAATGCGGATGTGGCTCAAGCTTTTCGCATTGGAACCATAGGAACCCAACCTCGAGCCATCATAGTTAAGTTCAATGACCAAACTCAACGTGATACAACTTTAGCCAACAAAGCTGTACTCAAGGACGTAGGATTTGGTTAGATTCCGATCTCACACCTCTACAAGTAGAGGCAAGGAGAAAGGAGCTTGCAAAAGTCAAAGAAGCTCAAGATGTTGGATTTTTTGCTTATATCCGTGATGGACAAGCAATTGTCACTCAACGGAAGAGACAATCATCCCCATAGCAATCCAAGAGCTTGAGGGTGTTAATGTGGAATATTAGAGGTCTTTCTACAACAAAGTATGTGAGTGCTAATCTGATTTGGAAGATGGCGGACATCATCAACATTGTGGAGACGTGGGAACATGAGAGCAACACTATTAAAGAGATACCAAGGTTTACTTTTGTGGGATTCACTTGAAATCAGACAAGTCAACGAGCTGGAAAAGACTATGGCGGTATTGCTACTTTCATCAGATCTCAATTTCTACCTCTGATACATTAAGAAGGTCAGGATATTGGAAGTCAATATCATTGGCTTCGTCTTGGATTGGTTGGAGGATCTTATAGTTATTTGGCTGTTTGTTACTTTGCACCATTGTCCATGCCTATCTACTCCATACGCACTTGCAATCGGAGTCAACCATTCCATCGACTTATAGGAGATGTTCTCAATTATCAGAGCAAAGGTGAAGTTTTTTTGGTTGGAGATCTCAATGCTCGAATAGGTTGTGCACAATTTACCCAAGTTGGTGATCTCTTGAGTTCTCACTCCTTTGAAGAACTTGAAGATAGTATGTGGTGTAGAAACTCTTCTGATATTTGTACAAATCCTTTGACATAACTCTTTCTAACCTTTGGAGCCACATGTAATTTGAAAGTTCTCAACGGTATCTCTCTCTTTCCCAACTCCCTTTCCAATACGTGTTTTTCTCCTACAAGTGTTAGCACCATTGATTATCTTTGATCTTTAGCCACTCATAGCTCTCTTATTTCAAAATTTGATACTCTAGAACCTCAGCCAGAGTCACATCATGCACCTCTCTTATTTACTCTCTTGTTATAAAAAACAATCCTTCTTTCTCCATGCCATTCTGTTTTAGCTTCTCCCAAGTTTCGTTTAGATCCTAGTAAGAAAGAGCAGTAAGAAAGAGCAGTACACGTTACATTTTCAAAACCTTTTAACTCACACTTCATGGAGCCTTGATCCACATACAACGAGTGGGCAATTAATAGAGTTGCTCAAAGACACTGCTTCTAAGTTCTTTTTGCGGCACAAAGATCGAAGAGCTAGGGGGCTTCCTTGCAATGGATGGTTTGACTTGGATTGTAAGCAAGCGAGGATGAGATCAGTTGACAAGTCTTTGGAATTCCAAAGTCGGCTTATCTTGACAAGACTTTACAAAGACTTGGTGAAGTCTAAAAAAAGATCTTTTTTGAGGACGAAGTAGGAATCCTTAACAAAGGAGTTGATGGAGAATCCCAAATCCTTTTGGAGACGGTAAGCTGTAAGGTCTTCGAAACCTGCTCTTGATCCCAAGAGTTTGATTGAATTTGCTGAAAAGTTTTATTTTTTTCCCGACGCTGCATCAATGCCTTGTTGTGAATGAACATCAGGCTTATTTTCTGAATCAGAGATGATTACTCAAGTTAGAAAATTAGCAAATGGTAAATCGAATGATTCGGATGGTCTCTCTATTGAACTTTTGAAGTGGGGAGGAGATGTTATTGGACCAAGACTCACCAAAGCGTTAGAGAATGCAGCTATGTATGGTTTTCCTTCAGCTTGGTCATTACGGAAGATTGTGCCTATTCACAAGTCAGGAAGGAAGTGACAAACTATCGCACTATCATGGTGGATAGTGTTTTTGCCAAGTTGTTCGACAAATTGGTGGAGTCAAAGTTTAAGTAACTTTCATGTACTTATGTGCATGTGACCTAAAAAGTTGAATTTAATCTGCTCTACAGAAACTGTCATTTATAAATTACATATCTCTTCAATAAATGCTTTGAAGAAAATATGTCTTACAAGAGTAATATGTTTTAGCCTTTACACTCCTAACCATTCTTGGTAAGTTGTCCTATCTATTCTAAGTTTGACTTAAGATAGATGATGTACATTTTTTGAATTATTGAATCAAACAAGTGAAATTTCACTAAAATTTAATCACCTTGTTGACATAATCTTATTGATTGAAACGAAAATAATTTACTTTTCTAAATGAGCAAAGAATCGGTTCAGATTTTTTAGGTTTGTCCATGAAAATAAAAAATTATTTTTACTTTAAATTCCACTTTTCATTTATTTTAGAATATTATTTGACAATAAATTCACATAAAATTTCAGAATATATATAATTGAAATTTAAATATTTAAATAACATGATAGTAAAATATATTCTTATGCATAAAAATGAATACATGTTTTTGAATGTTAATAAAGTGGGGGGAGATCCACTATGTTTATCTGAATTTTATTTTTTATTACCTAGAAGTATGTATCAATCACAACATTATAGATTATATAGTGCTTTTTCCTTATTATCAGGCAGCATTCACGAACATTTATGACTCGTCAGTCAAAATAACACGAAGGTATTTCTAGTGAGACTTGACATGACATCAGAATAGAACCCCCTTTTGCTATACTATAGTCTGATTCAATTTGGAATGGATTCCTAGTCACAAGTATGACATCAGAAATGAACATTATGACTGTCTTGCCAAAAAAGTTTTGACTCTTACTACACTACACCACATTTGACAGGAAGTTTCTGCTATATGCAGACTACTATTGTAGTATAGTAGAAGCAATGTCGACAATTTGAACAAATTATCCTGAAAGCCACACCCTTAAGTCTACATGCAAGGGCCATCTCCTTCAACTCTGTCATGTCCGCACATCGATTCTCAAAAAAAAAAAATTTAGGTTAGAATAGCAATAGTAACTCAACTCTAAAGATTTAAAGTACCACAATCATACTGACACATTGAAGGAAATCTAGAAACAATCCAGTGCAACTAAGAGTCTATAGCAACAGTTACTAATCTTCACTCATACCTTGTCTTGCAGGTGTTGATATTTCATATCGACGTTGATTTAAGTCTGGCCGGAGCATCCAATAAAAATAGGATTTAGACGGTGTTTACACCAGCTGATGTTTTTTTCAAAGAGGTTCATTCTTCACTATAAAATTTCGAGACTTTCATAGGCAATTTCAAGTTTTCAACCATAAGATTTGTTTTCTCAGTATACTCACAATTTTACATATTATGAAAGTGAATATATCCATTCGCTAACCTGCTGGCTATTTATTGTGCGTGCTTACTGCACTTCAGTACATGGTCTGCACTTAAGTGATAGAGCCGTATACATTTTTTTCATTTTAAATTAATCCTTCCTATTAAAATCAACCTTCATATGTGCCGTACTAATTCTTTACGATAACATCAGCTCTATTAGCTAATAGGCAGGAAGCTGAAACAATGTTCGCTTGCCAGAAAGTTAAGATAGGACAATATAAAAATATTTCGACGAGTAGTATTTCAAAGTGCTGTAACATTAGTGCTGTTTTACACTCGGCTAAACATTAAATTCATCAGATATACACAAAAGAAGTGGCAACTGTGGTATGAGAATGAATCAACGGAGCTTGTATTTCATCATTATCTTGGTTTACATTCGAGCTTCGAGTTCAACCCTTCATTTGGGTCCTGTACAATAGCTTACCCACCATGGCAGTAAGCGGATCTGGAAGGGACAAATACACTACTTGAAAGGACGATAACGAGATTACTCCAAGGAATATTGTGAGCGTCTAATTCCACTTCTGACTAGATTGGCAAGGTAATAAGGCCCATGAATCTCTCATCGAACAGAAACCATTACCACCGATAACACCGGAGAAAGAAGAGGTGGTTAGAGACTCGCTAGTTTATGGTCCAAATAATCGCAAAGACCAGCGAATCGTTATGGTGTAATCAGGACTGTCTGAAAGTGGATAAATGAACCATCGATGCACCTAGCCAGGTTGAAACAAACACTCCAGCGCAGATGTCTACTCCACTCAAACTTAATCTCGCCTAGCCACAATTATACAATTGCCATACGGCCTAACGAATTTTGCCTAAACGAAGAAACTTGAAATTCGAGTTTACACTTCTGATAAGCTTTTCGAAGTTCCAGCCATAATGTAGAAGTACTCGTGCGTGCAATTGGCAGTATCCTTTTAAGCTGCAACTGCGACCTCGTCCACGCCGTTCTCTTGTTGTAGTGTACAGATCAGGTGTCGGTCACCATAGACATTGTCCACACGTCCTATACCACAGGGAGAACATAGTCAGGAAACAGTAAATTTTCATCATAACGTACTGCCAAGTCGAAAAGCTTAAAAATGGGGTTACAAACATGTAACACTAGGCAAATACCTGTTGTGGGCCAGAACTTGGATGCCTTCACCCATGACGCTGGGAACGCAGCAACCTCGCGACTGTATGGCCTAGTCCACTCATCTGCCAACACGACCGCTGCAGTGTGTGGTGCACACTGAGGAGAAACAACCAGAAAATTGGTCAGTAAATATCCTTCCGGCTTCATCCTTGGCCTAATCTTATAACCGTCAACAGATCTAAGCCCGCATAGCAAGTACTTTTCCTTCCTTACCTTCAAGACGTTCACTTTGTCGTCCGCCCTTCCTTCTTCAATTGCACGAATTTCTTCCCTGATAGAGATGAGGGCGTTACAGAACCTGTCAAGTTCAGCCATGCTCTCACTCTCTGTCGGCTCGATCATCAAAGTTCCGGAGACAGGCCACGACATGGTAGGTGCATGATATCCGTAATCCATGAGTCGCTTCGCCACATCTTCAGCTTCGATGTGTGCTGTATCCTGGACGAATCCATCGAGAGTGTCCAGGTCAGTTCAGAATACCCAAGGTTAAAAAAGCAACAGACAACTAACTCAACAGTTTTAAAAAAAATTGAAGCAAAGTACACCGTCCATAAATTCAGGTTGGAAGAAATCAGATTTATCACTCTGTATCTTTTAAATCCAAAAGTAATACCTTGAACGATCTAAGATCGATGATAAACTCGTGTGCACAGGTCCCGTTATCACCGCGGAAAAGAATTTTGTAATCATTCTGCAGAGGCAATGAACGAGGTCAGTGGCAACACACTGGACATACCAGGTACATTTTGGGGTGATGCGAACAACCGAAGGAGAAATATGTGTATAATTATACCTCAAGTCGTTTAGCCATGTAGTTAGCATTGAGGATGGCGATCTTGGAAGCGTCAGTGAGTCCTTCAGATCCCATCATGGCGATGTAGGCGTACGAAATTGGCAGGATCAGAGCCGATCCCCAAGGTGCAGCTGCAATAGCTCCCAAAGGTTGAACTTTTTCAGGGAGTGGGTAACCACCTGTTGGGATCTGTAACACACCAAGTTCAAAGATGAGTGAGCCGTTCCTGTTTTGATTCTAATTAGAATCTTTTCGCGTAACCATGTCAGACAAGGACTTTTCTTCTTACATGAAATGTGCCAAAGAGAGTAAGGTCAGTGTACAATTAAGTGGATGAGGTAAAGAAGGGTGACATTACGAAATCCTTTGTACGAGGCAAAAAGGAATACTCACCACTGGGTGGGAGGGTAGGAATGGAGCAAGATGCTTTTTAACTCCGATGGGCCCCATGCCCGGTCCACCTCCTCCATGAGGAATGCAGAAAGTTTTGTGTAGATTCAAGTGGCATACATCAGCTCCAATAAATCCAGGACTTGTGAGACCGACCTGCAAATCCATGGTAAACAAAGACATCAGACCAAAGTGATAACCAGCTTCGGCAAGATGAACTTTAAGCATAAGAAGTGAGCGCCACCGGCGAGTAGGAATCGCAAGATTCTCAAATCAGTTTGAGCAGATACGGAGCCCACTAACCTGAGCGTTCATGTTGGCTCCATCCATGTACACTTGCCCGCCGTTCTGATGGATGATCCTACAGATTTCATCGACACCTTCCTCGTAGACACCATGGGTGGACGGGTACGTAATCTACAAAGATGCATGAAATTCCGAGTCAGTTAGCGGCAAGGAGCTCAAGGAATCTAAGAACATGAAAGACAATAGCCTAGTACACAAAGCTTTTGTTCCATGAAACACAAGGAATCCTCTTCAACCGAAACTCCAATAAACTCTATCTGAAAGTCCCAGCCACTGACTGCATGTCAAAATTCATACGACGGGAGAATCTACCATAAACTCAGGTTTAAGATAACGACATACCATGAGAGCGGCTAAGTTCTCCTTGTTGGCCTCAGCGGCCTTTCGGAGGGCCTCAATATCTACGTTACCCTTAGCATCAGTTCCGACTGCGACAATCTTCATTCCGCACATGGCGGCACTAGCAGGGTTGGTACCGTGTGCTGATGTGGGGATGATGCATACATTTCGGTGGCGATCTCCGCGGCTCTACAAAATTATGTTCACGATTAAATTTCAAGAATCACTCAATACAGAGAACAAAACATATTCAAAAACTCAGACTCTGTACCAGTTCACCAACGAACAAGAGTCAAAAACATTTAGTTGATAAAAATAAACGCAAAGGGGCATAGACGGGACATACATCATGGTAGGCACGGATGACCATCAGTCCCGCATACTCTCCTGCGGCTCCCGCATTGGGTTGGAGAGACATTGAATCGAATCCGGTAATCTCGCAGAGCATATCTCCCAGGTTCCTGAACATTTCCTGTGAAAAAAAAGGACTCTCTCGTGAGACATGTTCTACCCAAAAGAAACATTTGACGAATTTCTGCCCTGCGCGGCATGCTTGTAAACAAAAATTGCAAAATGGTATTCTCGTTCACCTGGAATCCTTCCGTCTGCTCAGTTGGGGCAAAAGGATGAAGGTTGGCGAATTCGGGCCAGGTCACGGGCATCATCTCTGTAGTAGCGTTCAGTTTCATGGTACAAGATCCCAGAGGGATCATGCTGTGGACCAAAGACAGATCCTTGGCCTGCAGCCTGTAGAGATAACGCAAGAGCTCGTGCTCTGAGTGGTATCTGCAGAATGACGTTATTAGCGTTAGATTCGGAGAAAGGGTGTCACTAGATAGCACAACAAGAAAATGCGTATCTCACATACACAACATAGCTCGTAAGACCTGGCGGAGATGACATCGCAAAACATCTGCACGTTCAATTTCAAAGCGAGCTGGAAAAATTCACGTACGCATTGAAAATGGGATGAGTGAGGTAGGGACTAGTGCGTTCCAATCCCTTCGGAACTCTTGAAGCGGCTTCGGGAGCCAAAGATTCGGCGGTAAAGTCGACCTGTCCGTTACAAGCATTCGTTCAGTTCCACGATTACCACAGAAAACGTACTCTACAGGAATTCCCAATGGAAAATTGAAAAGAAAAAACTATGTGGCCATTTCAAAAGACTAGAAATATCCGAGGGGGGTATCTGAAAGTCCAGTAAAACTCACAGATTTTCCTCCAGCAAAGATGGCAAATAGCTTATCCACATCAGCGATACTAGTTGTCTCGTCGAAGGCAACGGTCAACTGCGCACGTCAAGATCAATTTCATGTCAGTCGAAGGTGGAAATTCGTGTGAGTTCTATGCTCTTTATCTCTCGCTTTTGAAGTTCCGACACAGGGAGAAAGGCTTTCCGCTGGTAAAATTTTCAACGCTCATTCAGTCGAAACATGCAATCTGAAATTAATCCAATTGGGGGACAAGATTCACTCCCAAAACTATGCCAATATCAGAAACAGAGAAACCGGTAGACATAGATGGTTGCTGTCTTCAGTCTTAGAATAAAAAGCACATGGGAAATCAAGAACACGTAAGGAGACCTGCTACTGCTACCTCCATAGCCTTTCGGAGTTGGGCTACTGTAAGAATTTCAGAGGACTACTAACGTCATAGGCAGAGACAAAGCAGCAAATCCTCTAGACGGGTTACTGTTTGAAAAAATCCTGTTAGTGGGCAGAGGGCACAATCACAAAATTGTCGCTAGCTTTGACAACACGTCATCCGAAGAGCGAGGGCACTCCGACAGACCAAGCGACAACCCGTATCCTCCTTTAGTATCCTACTGGGGATCATTATCCACAGGTAGAAGCAGACGTTTCGAAGGGAGAATGACAGGGCGGAGGCTTACCGAGCTAGAATCGAGCACACGGAGGTTCACTCCATGCTCACGGGCGAAGCTAGCGATCTTCGATGCTTGGCCCTCAGGAACAGAAACCTTCACGGTGTCGAAGAAAGCTCCAGCGGTAGCTTTGGTACCGCTTAGTTTGGACACACCAGTGGCGAATACAGATGCCAATCCGTGTACACGGTCGGCAATCATCTTTAAACCTTCCGGCCCGTGGTATACAGCGTACATAGCTGCCATGTTCGCTAGCAAAGCCTGCATTAGATCCACAAAAAGGTCAGAGTGGATGTCGCGGGGGGCTCGACAACGCGAACAAACCCACCAAAACAATTCGTTACCTGAGCTGTGCAGATGTTGCTGGTGGCCTTGTCACGACGGATGTGTTGTTCGCGAGTCTGCATTGCCATACGCAAAGCAGGCTTGCCGCCTGAGTCGATGGTGACACCAATAATTCTACCGGGCATCAGACGTTTGTATTCTTGCGAAGTTGCGAGGAATGCAGCATGAGGACCTCCATAACCCATTGGCACTCCGAATCTCTGAGCAGATCCAACTGTCATATCAGCTCCAAACTCTCCAGGGGGCTTCAGAGAGGTGAGAGCCAGCAAGTCAGTGGCCATCACCACCTTCACTCCGTGGGCGTGGGCGTTCTTGACGAAGTCCGAGTAGTCAATAACCTCACCGTCTGTGGCGGGGTACTGCACCAAGACCCCACACACATCCTTGCTGCTGTAGTCGAACTGCTTAAGATTGGCGACGACAGCATTCATGCCGAGACCTGGTGCACGAGTGATGCAGATGTCGATGGTTTGTGGGTGGCAGTTGTCAGCGATGAGGAAAGTCTTCTTCTTTCCACGAGCAATGCTGGTGCACATTCCCATGGCCTCAGCAGCTGCTGTTCCCTCGTCCAAGAGAGAAGCATTCGACATGGGCATTCCAGTGAGGTCGGTGATCATGGTCTGGAAGTTCAGCAAGGATTCGAGACGCCCCTGCGCGATCTCGGCCTGATAAGGAGTGTACTGAGTGTACCAGGCCGGGTTCTCCATGATGTTTCGCAAAATAACAGGAGGAACGTACGTGTCGTAGTAACCCATTCCAATGTGAGACTTGAACACTTTGTTCTTCGCGGCCAGATCCTTCATGTGGCCGAGCAATTGAGCCTCGGTCAGGCCCTGGTCGAAAAAGCCCAAATTCATCTTCTCCCGCAGAATCGCCTTCGGCACAGTGGCGTCGATCATCTTGTCCACAGTCTCGAAGCCGCAAAACTCGGCCATCTTCGCCTGCTCGTCCAGAGTAGGACTGTTGTGGCGCCTCTGGAAAGTGTCGCTCGGCTGCAGAGCCGAGAGCGAGATGGACCTGAGCCCGAACGGCATCGGCATCGGGCGAGTCAATTCCCGCACGCCGCATCCTCGCGCGGGAGCGAAAGACGAGAGCGATCTCGCCACTCGGGAGACCGAGGGCGCCGGGCCAGCGGCACCAGCGCTGGGCAGCGCTGCGCCATTGCGCGACGACGAGCGGACCAACCTTCGCAGCAGCGTCGCGGACGCTCCTCTCGCGCGGTCCATGGCGAGCCGCGGCTAGGAATCCTCGCAGGGACTCGTTATTCCCACGATGATTTCACCCGACGCCTCCTCAGCAGCAGAATCAGCAGCAGCAGCAGCACTCGCCCACGAGAAGAGCTCGGCGACTGATCTTCTTGAAGGAGAGATTTGGACTTCGAGCGAGCGAGCGCTCGAGCGGGCCTCGTGTGGGAAGCCCTCCTCTCCTTCCGAATTCGCTCGTTCTGCCTCTCCCCGAAATGTTTGCGAACTTCAATGCACCACCGACGAAACGAGCCTGGCCCGAGCCACTGCCCCGGCAGGCGCCGTGGTCCGGGTGGGCGCATCCGCAGTCCGTGCCGAGCCGCGCTCGAGGCTCGGGGCTGGGCGTTCCGCTGCTCGTCCGCCAGTCCCAGGGCTTTGTCACCGGCGATAAGGCGCGGTCGTGGTCGGAGGCGCGAGAGACAGTAGGTGCATCGCCGCAGACCAGGCCTACCGTATCCTGATTCGATGATTGCGGCTACTTCAGGTGATCGTGGTCACTTCCGGAGCAGGAGCCGCTACAACTGACTCTACGATGTGGCTCCGCTCCCGCTCCAGCTCCGTGTGCGCGGTTTTCCATCTTGCCACGTGGAAAGCTCCCCGCTGTCAATCAAACCACTTGGGATATACCGCCCCCCCTTGCGAGGTGAACACCGAATCGCTTCGCCCAATGCTCTCTGATTACATTTGCTCGCATCCCCGATATTTTACCACGACGGCCTCCTCAGACCACATCTCATTCTACCTTCAGCTGTGGCTGAACGAGAACTGGAGTCGCAGATGGAAGAAACCACCGACGATAATAGTCGCCTTCTTTCCACACAAAAAATGCCAGAACTAGTCAGTCGAATCAAATCGTATTATATATTTCCTTTAAAAAACCGGAGCTTTCCAACTTCCGATTCGTGTACTAGTTATAATTTACTGCCATAAAATATCTGTTGTATCATATATATAATATTTTACATATTACATATTATATCATACAACTTTTATGTGTATATTTGCCTCCACGGACCCTTAAAATTTACACAGGATCTCGTAGCAGGAGGACCTGCCACGAGATCCGTTCCGCCGAAATTTCCTGAAAAAAATAAAATATATGACCTTGGGGAAGTTTATTTTCTCAGAATTTCCAAATAAGGAAAAAAATATCGAACAGAGCCGAAAATGTGTGTCAACACGATGTGCACACTTGCCGTGGAGCAGCAGTTGCTTTGGGTTGTTGGTTGGGATGAGGATTTCGGAGCTTGACGTAGGCCTGTAGCGCTTCCACGCCAATCACACCAGTTACCGTGGAAAGATTGTGACCAGGATCGTGCTCCCGTTGCGCTCATACATGCATGCGCGGACTTAACCTTCCGCGGTAACTCTTCCGTTGGCGCTCGTTCCCCTTTACCTTTTGTACTGCAGTCGGCCGCTAATGCGGTCGGTCCATACACCACATTCCCTCCTCTGGAGTAGCGCTGGGCTTTTTTGTCTCGCTCTTGTATCTCGTCGAATGTAGAAGTGGAGTGGTTATAGAATCAAAATCGTTTGTCTTCTCTCAAGCTGCATATATGGTCGAGCCAATATGCTCTGATGGAATTATAATTATGACTTCACAAGATGTAGATGCTGCGGAGTGAGATCTTCGTAGGCACTATTCACAATCGGCTCCATTGTTCTACATTCGACTGATTAGATTCCTGTTTGATGATTAAGGACATACGATCTACGTTCACTTTTTCGATGCCTCCAACGCCAAGATTTTCTCGGATCTCCATCGAAACGAGACGAGCAAGTTTTAATGTGGCTGCTCAGTAGAGAGGAAAGAAAACGACCGCACTCACGTTCCACCGTGAAATCTTCGGTAGTTTCGGGTTTTAGAGATCGCATTGTCATGATAATAACTACGACATCCTTTTGCGGTTCCTGATTTCACCAGGTATTGGCACTTTGGATTGACGGGCCAGCATTTGAGAATACATACAAGAAACAGGTAATTTTAGAATGGGAAGCGAATCTTGCTTGAAGACATTTCTTTTGAAGGAAATCGAATTAAGAATCAGAGTCAAAGTGCATACATTCTCTACGTTGTCATGATGATTGATACAGTAGATAGAGAGCTGACGTTCCAGAGTCCGAGCCTACGAATATAAACGAAGGAGGACGGAACAGGAACTCGTACAGAAGTGGCAAAAGGCAAGAAGAAGACGAAGAAGGGTGAATAAACAAACATCCAATTCAGGAAGACAATATTACAAGCCAACAAATCTTCTGGCGGAAAGAAATACTCTTCAGAAGCATATGCCAAAGCAACTCCGGATCAAACGTACATACATGACTACATAAAAGACTTAGAAGTACAGTACTCCTCGTTCAGGTAAACCGGGTACAACCTTCACCTGACGATCTCCGTACACGGTAAGACCACGTGCATGAACGAGAAGCTACGTAGCAAATTAGTTGCGAGCAAGAATTTGCATGGAGGATCTCATATATCAGCAAAAGGTACGTTTACTGCTATAGAAATACAAAATAGGCAAAGTCACCAGGCGGCTAAGGCTGGCACATGATGAGAACGGCGTGCAGGAAGTAAACAGTTGCAAGATACAATATATCTGTTCCAAGTGGTATGTCCATGAATGTGCCACATGCTTTACATCTTCAGCGTCTAGAACAGAGACAGTGTTTCGAGACATTATTTGCTAAGTAGCCCTCGAATGAATGAATCAGACCTCTCTCACCCACAAGAAGAAGATAAGGAAATTAAAAATGCAGTGCAGTAGATAACTTACATGACTCATCAATCTGATAAGCACGGATCCTCAGTTATACTGCCACACGAGTTTGGGCTAGTGGATTTTGTACTTGGAGCATATTGGATACGTAAAGCTGATGCCAATTCGTGGAATCAAACCACTCTCTTTACACTTCAGAGAAACCCTCTTCGGTTATTGGAAATTGCCAGGCTTTTAAACAGCCCATGGATGCTCATGCAGAGTAGGACCAAGTCAAGACCTGGATTCTACCTCTGCATAGGACTCGAGTGGATGCCGTTCCAGGAGGAAAGCTAGATCACATCAGCCTTGACAACCTTCATATCAGGCTAATGACATGTTGCCATTCCGAGTATGAGGTGTGACTCTTGGCACCAAATGTTACCACATTGGCTTTTCGAAACGAGGGTGACAATTCATCGATCGTCATGTAGTGGGCCAAACTATCGTGCCCGAATGATTCAAACTACATTTTCTCAACCGATTTGCGTTTCTTACTATTTTCCGTCATCCGAATTCTCGAATGGAGGTCACAAAGGATGACGGACTAAACATCAACTCTTAACGAAGTGAAGACCAGTGCCTGCATGCACGTAGATACTACGCACTTGCACCTACATGCTCGTGTCCTACAGACTCCTCTGAGCTCAATCCATCCGTTGTCGGAGAGCCGTGTCACCACAAACGGCCTGCGTCAACGTGGATAGTCTCATTCACACAAGCTAAAAAAAATCATTCCCAGTCAAAGTGAAAATGAGTGGTGAACATTGTCAGCCAACGGATTCTCGGATGGTGACAAAACGGGACATCCTCTTGGTGTGGATGGAGGACCGGTGACGATCCCGGTTTCTTATACATTGTACAGTGCGCTCAACTCCATCCCGAAAGGCATGTTCGATGTTCGAGGCACCTCTGGACAGATTCAATACCCGAAAGTGCACTCGACAAAACCATATCACTCCAAACTCTGTTCACTGGTTGATAGCAGAATTTGAGCAGATACTTCCCGGATTCTGAGGTTCCTCTTTGTGTTGTCTTCTTTGATTGGATTTCACGATTTGCAATTGGGTCTTGACTTAGGCTCAATTCTTCTTATAAGCCACGATAATACGAGGCAGGATGATGTGACTTTGGCTCTCAAGAATCGACGAACTGATTTGATCCACAGTGAGGTTTCATTGGAAGCTTCACACCGTGACTCGGCTTGCTTTTGCCGCGGTTGTGTACATGTGCATGAAGCTTCCTCCACTGAGTTGAGTTCTCACTCGTTCGCTTACCTTCCTCCTCCTGGTCGATGATCGAGAAGGACTCGAGTGGATCGCGAGAATCAACAGACCCTTCGTTCATCCTGAAATCCCCGCCGCCCGGGCACATCGTGTTAGACCTGAGGTCAACCTTACTCTCTTCCGCTCGGTCGCTCGGAGGCACTCACGCCACCGGTGAAGGGCAAGTGTGGACTGCCACTTCATTCATAAGTTTAATCTCTGGGGCACCAAGACCAAGAACTCGAGTTTGCCCCCGTGCGCACTCGCAGCATAACATTTTCACCACGCATTCTCGGAGGATGTGAGTTGTGGATTCAGGAGGTGCCTTCGGTACAATTGTGACAAGCAATGGACGTCGGTTTGCTGTCAGCGTACAGGAGGGGAATCAAGGGAACTGTGTCTCGAGTATCTGAAAACGCCATGATTTGTGTCACGTAGCTCAGCGCTGCGGTCTATCGAAGTGGTTGCCTCGATACCACACAACAGTTCAAGTCGTGGACCCATCCGTGGTACTTCAGACACAGTACGCTGAGAACAGCAGCATTTATCAGAACGTGTGCGGTTGGTTTTGATACTCAGTCATGATCCTGCACCTCCTTCCAAGTTTTCATGATAAGCACAGTACGCTGTGCGCCATCTCGTGTACCCTACCATGAAAATCAGGTGTCCTCAAAGCACAAATTGTCGGACACATTTCCCGTACATTCAGTTTTCCATTCGAGTGCAGTGTTTGGGTTTTCAGCTCTCGATGTAAAGATACCAAATCCCCAACTTGAACCCGAAATCGAGGCTGTCGAACCTTTGCATTTACAGCCGCTTCGATCCTCTTCAGCGTTTTCAGTCCATCGCATATCGTAAGATGTCACGCTTCGACTGGATCCATCTCTCTCCACGTCAACACCAGTTTCATCTATCCGATTGACGCTAAGGAGTTGGGCAATGGCAGGCCTCAGAAAGTCCAGTGAGATCTAAGGCTCTTCAAAGCTCGAGCCTGCTTACACTGTACCTTGCAAGGATACAGAATAAAATATTCTTCGAAAGTATCAGCCTCGGTGTCGCCAGGGGCAGCTGACAGAGGCAGTGGCCGGTGCCGGTACCTGCGGGCTGCAAATGGCAGGTATTGCAGGAGGAAGGCTAGAGAAGGAGCGAACAATGAAGGACACTCTGGCAAGGTACAAACTTGGAGGTCGCATTTATGACGCTCCTAAGTTCCAGGAAAAGATAATTCCCCCAAGCTTTCACCTCCCAGGACATTGGCATGCTCTCGAACCTCACTCATAGCTCAGTTCAGTGCGAGGCACAACTTAAGAAGTGCAGGATTCACGAGGGAATCTCTGGACGAGTGTCCACCGTACATTCCGAATCATACATTCCACAAAACGGAAACATTAAGAAATCGGTGGAATTGGCACCCACAGAGGTTTTCTAAGAGCAAAGCACAAACCACAGTCAAGCATCAAGGACCGTGCCTGACCTGACGACTAACCACGCGTGCAAATTACTGTAGTGCTGCTCGAGGCCGGAGTTACCATGCAATATCCACCATATAAGGGTCATGTCGTTGTGCAGGATCGTGTTGCATGTGGAAAGTGCGCAGGAGCATAAAGGTCGGGGGACCAGGAGGGAGGGGAGGGAGGGAGGTACAGTACAGTCCGGTAGGTGGTTGGCTATGGAGAACGGATCTGACGGAGGAGCTGAGGCTGAGATTTGGAAGGAGGAGGAAGGGGGTCTGGTTGGCTGTGGTGGAATTAGCGGTGCTGGTGATCAGGACGAAGATAGGATAAAGAAAGTAAAGAAAGTGGGCCCTCTAGCAACGACGATGTTCCGGTGCGACGTTCGTACAACTCACACTCTGTTGTTCCAAAACTGCCACAGATGCTAAGGTTCCCCGGCTTCCGGGGCCCTTCACTTCACTGGGGAAAGAAGGACTGCACCATTACCAGCAAAACATTCAAGAGTAGGCTTCCGAACAACATCAACACAAAGCCTGATCGGGACACAGAACAATCTTATTGTATGGAGTGGATCTTTTGATCGACCCAAAGCTGGTGTAGCTGCGGTTCTTCAAATTTAATATACCCTCGTTCATGCTCATAGATTAGATAGTTCTGCTGGAATCTACCAAACGAAAGAAACTGGTCTATCTAGATCTGAAAGTCTCTTCGGGTTATACTAATGATACATAGCAATATAAAAGAGGTTACTCGACTCTTATAGCAATCAGGTAGCCATCTCTAACGTTTTGACACATAACCCAAATCCACCTTATGGCTATAATTCGGAGCTCTTACTGTCATGAAAGGCTTGGAAATTACTTTCCCTTCAGCTCATTTCTAAATCACGATGGATTCCAGGTCAGACAAGTGTTCTCGGAAATTAAAAAGCTGACTCTCATTCCGCTCCCCTTTTATTTCTCATCTTCGAACATGTCACATGGCAATTGGCTCTTGCTTGCACAGGTTCAACATACCACAATCTTCGTGGTTTAGAAAATGTGGTCTATTTGAATTAGCTAGACACCTATGGCAATAATATTTCTTCAGCATCTCCCACCATACTTGGCAAACTGTGAAGTACTCCTCAACGTAGCACAGGAATTACAATCATCACAACACTGAAAGAAGATGGACAATCTTACTCTTCCCTTTATGCTGCAAATCTTAATGGCGTCAATGACTCGTAAGAAACCGTGCGGGTTTAATTTCTCTGAGCATATTCACAATATGCTTAACACTTCACTATATATGAAAACATTTGAACCCCATTTGTCACCCCAGAAAAAGGGATCTTCGGATTCTGACTTTTCTGCAGCAACTTTTACTCGGCGCCTCCTTTCTCTGCTTCTTCTGATCTGGGGCTTTCTTCTTCGTGCAAGACTTTTTCTCTCAAGCCTGGCATCATTCATAGCTTTCGGGCTGCATCGCCGTATGACAACAACAACAAATCTAGCAACGAGGGACAGACAGACAGACAAACAGCCTCGCGGGTAGAACGGTAGAGTTCGCGGGCGATAATGAGCGAGCGACGACCAGAGCCTCTGAGCATGACAGGTAGGGAGACGAGGATGATGAGGGTGCGATCAATATCTGTCCACTTGCTGCGGATGTCTCCGGACACTGGCCCGCGAAAGTGTTTCCACCACTTGAACCCTACGCACCCTACAGCCCACCGGGTTCTGCTGCTGCTGCTTTCCCAGGATTCTGGTCCCATAAAGAGGATGGATGATCAGGCAACGAGGACATCGCCCTGAAGTCCTCCACCATACACGAGACATGCTTCTAAGGCAACCGCGGCTCCGATTGATTTTCCGTGAATTTTTGGACTTCTAAAGAGGAAAGAGAGGGAATCCGGGCCTCAAAAACGGCTCTATTGCTCTATTGCTCTATTATCATCAGCTTCCGACGATGGAGAAAGCCACGACTTGGCTGCTGGAGCAGGAGCAGCAGCAGCAGGGTTATAATGGAGATGAACCTGTAGCTTCTATGATGTTCTCGATCGACTAGCAGACATTCCATGGCCTAGGTGCTATAGCTCAAAATCGACGACAAAACACACCAGTGGTGTGCAAACAGCCTTGTTGGCTTGTTGGAGGGTGGTAGGCGATATTTTGGACTTCAAAAGCGCTCGGTGTCGTAACGGTGTGATTTTTACAAATGTTTCGGGCATGATGTCAGGAGAGACTGCGAGAGCTGCTTAAAAAAGCTCAGCAATTGTGCCAAAGCATCATGGGAGGCCAGATGATCGACTGACGGGCATTTCATGTCATCGACATGCTGGGCAGGCGTAATTCACATGCAGGTTAAAGAAGCGGTGTCATTTGGTGATCATATTTCTACTCTTCTGATTCCTTGCAGCGCCTCCTCCTTGGCTCCTCCACAAACACATGTAGGTCCCACCTCAGCCCAAGCCTTGCGTTTCCACAGCTTGATGATTTGATCCAGACCAGGGAAGCTGCTGGTCTGGACAGATACGGACACTGGAGAAGGTCTCGTGCCAGTCCTCTTTGGAAAGAGCGCTTTTCAGAAGGTTCATTCACTCAGTTCCCGTTGCGCTCTTGTACATTCGGCAGTCCCACCAGCAGCAGCAGCTGCAGAGCATCGGGTCTCTGTCCCGCAAAGCGAGTGAGTGAGTGGGGGAGAATGATTTGCTCATCCTCTAGACCTCCTCGCCATCCACAAAAGGATGTTTCTGAATATCTCCCAAAGAATCCATCACGCAGCGATTCGCACCAAAGCATGTTATCCTCCATATATGTATTATCACTATCGCCAGCGAACTTGCACATATCTGAATGAATATGATACAAAAATGCATACGAAACGTGCATCAAGCTTTATGTGGTGTAATCGGCTTCTCTTCGAAAGAGTCCTGAAGATGCACGAAGAGTTGGTGCAGGTTTTGGCTTCAGCCACTGAAACAAAGCTTCATTTCTCCCCAAACATTTTGAAATTGGTTTAACTAGAGGATCATGTCAGCATATCCGAGAATCTGTTGTAATATATCCACTTCCACTTTTATCTACATAGAAGCAGAAATAGCCGTTTAGACATATTGTGCATGTAGCGGAGTTGGTCCTCAAATTGCCATCAGGGCCTACATAGGCACGAGGTTGGAGTGCGAATTAAGTTTTTTTGAATTTTTGTCTCTGAGGATATGGTTATGGTGGAAAATAGAGAATGAGACAAGTTGAAATTTGTCAAAAAAAATGGATTTGGCTGGATGTTAATCTTCTTCTTCTATGCTGTGCTTATCTTTCTTTTGTGTATATATTTGCTTTAGTGTTTGGTTTGGAAGTAATCATCTCGTTCAAAACTTGCAACAAAACCCTCCGTTATCGTCTGGAGATTCCTTCACTCCGTCCATCTGAGCATGTGGCCCGACAGAGTACTCCGCTTGTGCTCTTTGTGTGAGTCGCCTCTCTCTCCCTCCCTCTTGAAATTCTCATCAAGTAAAACTAGGAACCATTGTCTAGTCGAATGTACTCTCGGTCTCTAACTCGTAACACGGAGAATGGATCTCACTCCTGATTGTGCCAAGCCTCAACATCTGATTCTTCAATCAGAACTTCCCTTGTTTATCATTCCGTCGAAGAACTTTGATTCGATTACTTGATCTTTGCAATTGAAATCTCTAGCAAAAATCTTTCCTTGCAACTCCCACTCGATCTCTCTGTGGATGCAATGAGCAAAGACATCGACATGAACAGTTTGAAGACAAGAGAAAAACAATTCTCCAAGTACTTCGATGAAGTAGCTTATGTGATCAAAATGGAGCCCGAATAAGATATGTAATACAGATTACATGATGATCTCAAGAAGTTTGTGCGTAATCTAATTACGATCAAATCTAGTGAATTCATTACGATCACTTGTGGCTGCAATATGTTAAACACCTTGGGGATAATTTTATATATCAATGGGTGAATTGTTTGTGATTTTTAATATTTTTTATTTTTCTTATGCATCAATACAAAATTTGATGATTAATGCACTGATTTGGTTTGAGCATTTTAGACAAAAGCTGTAAATCACGATAATATTTACCACTTGGATAATTGTTAACATTACCATAAAAAATTTTCAAAAAAAGCATAGGTTTTTTATTGCTACTAATTTCAATAAACTTCTTAGTTTCAAAATTTACTGTAAATATCCAATATTTTCAATCTTTTATCTTTAATCAATTATATCATAATTAAAACTCTAACATGATTGATAGATTGTGCATTATAATTTTCAATTTCATTTATTATAATTTATTAATTTTAAAACTATGAATGAATTTTTAATTTGATTGTAAAGTTTTTTTTAAATAAATATAATCTAATTTTACTTAATTTTAGTTTCTTTAGATTTTTGCTCAATGACACCACTTTTTGTATACAATATGATTTCTCTTTGGTACAAATAGTATAGTGATAATGAAAAATTGCTATCATATGTTTATTTATTTATTGTTGAATAAAAAAAATCTTCCTGATAAAAGAAGTCTAAAAACTTGAAAAAAATATAAAAATTGATTTATTGTGGATATATTGTATAGTGAACTAAATATCATTTTGTGATATATTGTGTGTTTGTAACCAATATATGCATGAGTAAGGTAGACGAAAAAATTTCAATGCATACAATGTTTGATGCACACAAGATACAACCTGAGTATTTGAAGAAAATTTTTTTCTTGCACAATATAATTTGCAATCTCAAAACCTCAACTTCAAAAACAGATACCAAAACAACCTAGTTATCCCTCAGTTTAGAGTGATAATTAAGTTAAACTGAAGATAACTAACCGCCCATTAATTTAATTTTACTATGTTGAGTGCTAGGCTTTCTAAAGTTGCTAACAAAACTTCCAAACTGCTATAACCATTATATGAACTTTTACATAAGCACGTGTAACCAAGCAGTAATTTCGCTACATAATTGCGCCTGTGCCCCAAGTAAAAACTTGACTCCCCTTTTTGTTTGTGCTCTTTCGTATGAAAGATTTGCTTGATGGGACCCTGCGGAAAGTAGTTTGCTTGATGGGATCATTCAGGTTTCGTTTTATCCGATGGATCCCGTGAACGATGCACCGTCACCCATACTCTAATAACGACTTGAGTTCTAGAGAAAGTGCTACGAGTCAACCACGCCCGCGGAGAGAATGGACTTTGCCCTCCATCACAATACCTTGTTTTTATTTTGTCATTTTGTATCCGGCCACTCCCCAGGTGATGAGCAAAGAAATGCTCATCCTGAGTTTATTTGTTCGCCACAAAAGGGAGTACCGCGAGACGTGAACTCGGACCACTTCCCGGTACGAGCTCCTCGTCGCATACGCAGAGTTATGGAAGGAGGGTGCCAGCGGTAGACAGCAGAGAAATAGGTGAGATCGGGGAAATTGAAGCACAACAAATTGCACTTCGGGCAAAATCGATCTTTGTCCCCGTGATAATCCACTAGAAATTATAATCATGGATTGATCTCTGATTGTAATCCCCGCATTGTAACTATCAATCATAGCTACAAGAACTATGGCCGGCACACAGTCGTTGGGGTCGATAATTTGCTTGAAGGGTCCCATCAAGCAAATTACTTTCCGCATGGGTCCGATCAAGCAAATCTCTCTCTTTCATATTGGCATCATAACCGTATGGACTCAACATCAATAAAAATAATTGTTTGAATACTTTTATTTTTAAGAAAGTTTGTATCCATTTTACTCAAAACTTCCCCCAACAATATCGATCTTCAACCGTCGTAACCGGTCCATTTTTAAA